TTTACTCAAAATACCTTTTATCTTCATTTAATGCCGGCAAACTTATTAGACCAGATGAACCCTGACTTAAATGGCTAGATCAAACAACTATTCGAACGGATCATATACTCAATTCGTTGCCAAAGTTCAAAGTAAAAACCCTAATTCAAACTCCTGGAATAAAACACAAGTCGCATGTCGATTGGATGAACTCCATTACTAACCTCAAATCATTCCGAACAATTAACACCTCGGTGACCTTTAAGCTAACCATGCACTAACTCATGACATATGTGCAAGATCAGACCTTCACTAGATCAGACCATGACTCCAAGCCATTTATCTCTCGATACCGATCTCCCCTATGACGTCAGCTCTGAAGAACTATGTTTCATGTCATCTTTCTTTACCTACCTGATCTACGTGGAGGGTACTAATCATACATCGAGTAGTCTGTTACTTAGACTGTTTGATAGAGGGACAGAATGTTGAAAACATTTAGTGGTAAAAAAGTATAGTAGTTTTTTTCCATGTTAAAAGCTTTCAATAGACAATCAGAAGTAGTTTTGACATTTGTGTCGACCTGACATATTAGGTCAATCTGATATTTTCAATACCACATCAGCTTGACAATGTCCTTATTATCCCCTAATAGGCCCCTATCACTTATCTATAAAAATGAAGGTCGAGGCACCATAAAAGTAACACACATCTTCTCTCTGTTACTTTCCTTCCTACCTCATCCTTTTTTACTCTTATCGTCATGGGTCATGACAGCTAATGAAAATACCTTTCTCTTCAATTTGTTTGCGTATTTTCTCAGTGATAGATCAGCGGGATGCACCCATTTGCACGCAATGCAGCGTTTCGTGCTCAGTTGCTGACGGAAATTGCCTTCACCAGCTATATTACTACTCCAGTTATTAAATTATAAAGAAAATACCTAGATTTCGCAGGCAATGTCTACTCCCAGTGCAATTTCCCTATATTTTTTAATGTGTCAATTTGTCTTTAATTCCTTTTGTCTACGTAGCTCCATAAAACGCAACTATACCCTGAAAGGAAATCAGCTCAAATTCATCGAGTTTATCATCATGACTTTGACCATCAGATCAATGGCGAGCGTAAGATCTCAACCTGAGATCGGGCTTGTTGTCGACACACCTCAGACCAGTAGCTTTACCACCCTAAATCAAAGCAGTCTCTCAACCATCTCTGCTAGGCGAGTTAAGCAATCATTAAGCTCCATATTAACCAGATTTCATGCCGGTTATTTTAGGATAAGCCTATCTCTAGGTGGCCAGGCTTTATTGTGGAAGACCCTGATTGGACTAACCGATGACAGAAGCACTCTAAGGCATATACTCCACATGTTCCATCCCGCGGCTTTTCTTGTATTGTGGTCTTTCGCTCTCTTTACTCTTGTTTTGCTTTCTCTTCTTTACATCTTGAGATGCATGTTTTACTTTAATGGTGAAACAAGAGTTCTTGCACCATGTAGGGGTTAACTATCTATTCGCTCCATGGATTTCATGGCTTCTTTTGCTTCGATGAGCTCCATTTGTCACACCAAAGACAACCTACTACCTTGCACTCTGGTGGTTTTTTGCGGTTCCTATTGTTGCACTTGATGTGAAAATTTATGGCCAATGGTTTACGAAAGGGAAGAAATTTTTGTCAACGGTTGCAAATCCAACGAGTCAGATATCAGTTATTGGGAATCTGGTTGGAGCACAAGCTGCAGCGACTATGGGATTGAAAGAGAGAGCCGTTTGCTTGTTTTCACTAGGGATGGTGCATTATTTAGTGCTATTAGTGACTCTGTACCAGCGGTTTTCAGGCCGTGATAGGCTTCCAGCGATGCTTAGACCGGTTTTCTTCTTGTTCTTTGCTGCACCAAGCGTGGCAAGCTTGGCTTGGGAATCCATATCCGGTGCTTTTGATACTGCATCCAAGATGCTTTTCTTTCTCTCCCTTTTCCTCTTCACCTCTCTGGTCACGTATCATTCAAAAACACTATCAAGATACTGACATGTACCAAAAGTATTATTGTAGACTTAGATGGACCAATAGAATGAAAATGGAAATTTAAATGCTAAAATATATTTGGTCCCCAATTAGGACTAGATGGATTTGTTTTGCCATGCAAACAAAACTGCAAATTGTTTAATCTTGATCCTTGCGTCACTCGTGGTCCTTCCATGGACTTGGCCATTTTTTATACCATTTCATAACTCAGACACGGAATGGTATAGTCAATCAATATTATTTACAAGTGATGCATGCAATAACTTCCATATATATACTGATTTTTTGCATACATATTTGTGGTATATATTGAGACAGGTTTGCAGGCCGGCTCTTTTCAGGAGATCGATGAGGAGGTTCAATGTTGCCTGGTGGGTTTACTCATTTCCCTTGACAATACTGGCTCTAGCTTCAACGGAATATGCAGAAGAAGTGAAAGGCATTATTGCTCACCTCCTAATGCTTCTTCTATTAGCCCTCTCCGTTGTGGTCTCACTTGGTCTGACAATATTCACTCTGCTAAACACAAAAATGCTATCACCCGACAACGATCCAATTTCAGGTCTCCACCATTTACCAACAGTTTCTGCATAATATCAAAACCGCCAGATCCTAGGGGCAACAAAATTCACCAGCAATTCCAATGTTGATTTCTGTAATATTAGATACTCTTGTCACCTAGTTGTTTATGCTATAAAATTTTGCAGTGAGATTGTAGCTATAGGATAAGCATGCACATCTGTAAACAAGATCAGAAGTGATCTATTGAATAATGAAGGCTCATTTCTTTGTTTTCTTGTTCGATTAGGAAGATTATAAAATAAGACATCTAACATTGAAAAATGGAGAAAAAAATTGGGTCGATCTCATTCCTATTTGGATGCTTCTGATATGTACATACAGAAACAAGATTTCACTTAATCAATGATATCATATATACGAACAGAGAAGTACGATCTTGTCATTATCTTTTCGTAATTAGAAAATATTGCCATTGAAATTAGATATGCATGACTATTAGATTAAGAATTTGGATAACTGAAATGCGTGTTAGCTATTGAAATTTGCTCAAATCTGATAGGTTTATGTTGAAAACCAGCTTAGATATGGGCAGTTAAGATTAATAAAATGTAAGGAAAAAAATGATAAGCCCTGGTTGAAGTCAAGAAAAGAAAAAAAAACATATACAAAGATGATTATAGTAAATATTTTCAGGACAATTTTGTTATTTTATATAAAAATAACTGTAATTTAAAGATAAAGAAAGAGATTATTAATAATGTACTGAATATTATTTTTTAAAAATTATTATGTCAATCAATTTAATTAAGACTTGTGTTTATTTTATTTTATATATATATGAAAAGACCTCATTGTACCTTAGATTACATACAAAGAAAGTAACCCCTTTACCATCTTCCAACAACAGCAACAATTTGCATGGATAAAATGCATTTTCATGGGAGGGGTTTCTCTTCCAAGTTGCACTCTAGAAATGTAACACCATTATCACCTTATAATATAACATTATTCTATCAATTTCTCCGGACAAGTTGCCCCAATTTCAATTCTGATTTGAATCCAAAGTCTAGCTCTCTCTTCCAAAACCTAGCTTCCAAAAACATTCTATCATTTTAAATCTTTTCCCCATATTCTAAGCTTTCCTTTAAAATAAATGAGTGAAAAATTTATAAAAAACAATATTAAATAAAAATATCTATATTTTATAATAAATAACATTTATACCCTTCATTTTATATGTTTACTAACAGTTAATTAGGTTTTTTTATCAAATTTTCAACTGAGTTGATATCACTTAATTCATAACACTAATTCAGTCAGAAACTTTATAATTATTGTAGAATATAATTTAGATTCTAAAGTAAAATGAAATATTTAGGCCCAAGCACTAATTGAAACTTGAAAACACAACATCATTTAGGTTTGGAGCTGCCGGGCTGAACCCTCAAATCCAACACATAGGTCCAATATAAGCTTCTCCATTAATTTGTTGTAAAATTATTTAATGCCACACTGTGATTGTGGTAATAAAAACGTTCGGATTAGATTTCCAGGAAACAGAAAAGCTTGGATTAGACGTGTGGAAGATTTGAAATGACATTACCTCGAGCGTCAACAACGTTAACTTCTTCAAAATTTAGTAGGCCTAACCAGTCTTCCCACCTACAAACAGCTACGAGGTAGCCCCAAACAATGAGAAAATCCTGTGGATATTGGCACTGCTTTAAATTTGAGCAAAAATTCAAGTGGCTAAAACAGTTTGTCCAAGTTAAGGTTCCCTGATTCTAAGGTTGAAAATCCATTCACTTGTCACGTCAATAAATTTATTCAAATCTAAAAATTCGTTTAAATTTTAAAAGATTTAGGAAAGATATTAAAATCTGTTAAATAAATTTAAATATATTTAAATTTTAGGTTGGATATTGAATAAAAAAATTAAAATTTTAATTTGATTTAATTTGAATAAAATATATATAATTAAATAAGTATATATTTGTAAATTTTTATTTTTATATTTTATATTTTAAAATTTTTTATAAAATTTTTATTATATAAATTAAGTTTAATAAGTGAATTTAGTATTTATTTTTTTAATTTGAGTTAAATTTAAAAAAATTTTAAAACACAAAATATCAAACCAAATTAAATTTTAAAAAATATAAATTATTAACATCAAATATGATATAATCCTATCTGAATATGATCCAGTTCAACTCATAATCACCTCATCGGTTGATCTCATGTTTTATTTTTAAATACTCAAATTAAAAGTGCAAATAAAAAACACCGTTTACAACCTCCGTTAAAATAATGAGATGAGTGGGAACCAAACTTGAAGTACATCGTTTGACGGAGAAGGACGGAAAGTCCCATTTACCGCGTTTAACAAACCCTGGGAAGCCTTTCACAGATTAGGCAATGCCTTTCCATTTTTAGCAATGGATTCTATCATCTCTTTCATTTCACTTATTTCTAGTGTTCTTCTTTTCACTATTTTCCCATTGTTATAGGAATTAGAACAAGAAAAAAAGAAAAAAAAGCTAGAGAGAAAATTATCATGGCTCGAGGAAAGATCCAGATCAAGCTGATAGAGAACTCAACCAACAGGCAGGTCACGTATTCGAAGAGAAGAAACGGTCTCTTCAAGAAGGCTAATGAACTTACCGTTCTTTGCGATGCAAGGGTTTCTATCATCATGTTTTCCTCTACTGGAAAACTCCACGAGTTTATCAGCCCTTCGACTTCGTATCTCCCCCTCTAAAACCCTAAATTTCTTTTTTTTTTTCTTTTTTTGAAACTTAAATCAAAACCCTAGATTTCATAAAAACAAAAAGCTTTTTGTGTTCTTTTTTTTTTTTAATATTATATATTATTTTGTTTTTTAAATTTTGTAGAACGAAGCAACTAATTGATCAGTACCAGAAAACCTTGGGCATCGATCTCTGGAACACTCACTATGAGGTCTCTTTCACTCTTTTTTTTCTTTCATTTTCTTCTTTAACTTTGGTCTACGATCTATGATCTGTTACATTGAGAATTTTTTTTTGCGTTTATGATGTAGAAAATGCAAGAGCAGTTGAAGCAGCTGAAAGAGGTTAACAGGAATCTGCGCAAGGAGATTAGGTAAAAAAAAATATAAAATGGAAAAAAATATTTATTTTTGTATAATTCCCTTCTTTTAAATTTAATATGTAACTCTTCCGTTATTTATTTTTTAATGTTTGATGGAATTAATGGTAGGCAGAGGATGGGTGAATGCTTGAACGATGTGAGCATTGAGGATCTTCGTGGTTTGGAGCAAGAGATGGACAGTTCTGTCAAGCTTATTCGTGATCGAAAGGTTCACCATTTTTAACCAAATTGAGGACCTTTTCAATCTAGGGTTTTCCTTTCAATTCATCCTGATTTAGTCATATACTAAGTTAGATTTAATTAAATTTTAAAGGGGATAAAAAATAATTAGTTTCAAATGTTAATATCTTAAGAATTAATTACTTTTCTCTAGAAATTTTAAAAAATTCAAGTGTTTACTCAAAAATTTTAATAGATTTTGGGTGAAATTCTTTTTGATATAGAAACTAATTACCAAGTTATGTTTATAATGTTGTGTGACAGTATCGAGTTCTCAACAATCAAATCGATACTTCCAAGAAGAAGGTAATCTTTATACAAAAATAATTGAATTTTATGATGTTATAGAAAATTACTTCTTCATATCTTTCTTATCATCTTGTTGCAGGTGAGGAATGTGAAAGAGATAAACAAAAATCTGTTACATGAGCTGGTATAATTAAGCACCTGCTTATCATATTGAATGCCATTCTAGTTTCTACATTTTCTCCATTATCATATAATGGTTTGAAAACCTTTCATAAGAGGTCTACCTGTTTGATTAATTAGGATGCAATCAATGAAGATCCATATGGTTTAGTCGATGATGGAGGGGATTATGACACCATTATTGGATACCAAGATGGAGGTCCTCGTATATTTGCTTTAAGCCTGCAGCCAAACCATCCCAATCTTCACAGTGGAGGAGGCTCAGATCTCACAACCTATCCCTTGCTCCACTAGTATATCTTCCATTTCTATAAAGCTTATGTCATGCAATATTTCCTCTTCGCTAATATATTGCTATGGAAACAAAAGAAAAATGGTGTGTACTATTACTAAAATTCTCTTCACTTTATTATGTCGCTTTAGTAGAGATTATATATTGATATGATTAATGATTTATGGAATGCTTTGCTAGATAAAGATATGTTGTCATCGTTGCATTTGCATTAATTTTTTAATGATTTTCATTTTTTTTTATAATATCATGATTTTTGCTCAATAAAGAAAAATATCATGAATACAAAGAGTATGAAAGCGAACGCCACCAACTTTTTGATCATGACAATTTAGTCTTGTCCTTTAAAAAGAAGTACTAATTTATATAATACTAGTACACATAGAATTAGTGGGTAAAATTTAATTAATTACCATTATGTGGTTTGGATTAGCTGGTACAATTATTAAGAGTATCTTATTTCAATTATTCTTAGTTTATTTTCATTTTTATTTCATCATACTCTAATCAAATAAATACTAAAGTAATAAAATTTCATACATGAATTTGTTATTTCGGTTCAATGCTTTTTATATTGATGAAAAGCAATGCATCCTTGAAAAGGAATTTAGTCTTTCCCATCCAAAAGTATCACTGGCCTGCTAAGCCCAAGGCCTGCCTTTTCCACTCTCTTGGGCCTCAAGAACAAACCGGTAGGCCCAAAGGATGTGCATGGGAAATGGACTCTTTAGTCAAGCGTCAAACCCCTAACGCCGTGCCGCAACCAGCAGCCAATACATTTACCGTCACCTGAAGAATTACTGAAAGATCGATAAAGATGGGGAAGGGAAAGAAGCCAATGCTAACAGGCAAAGGAAAGTTTCTTTTTTTTTTTTTTAGTTTAGTTGGAGTTGCACGTGCCCTTTCCACCCTCCGATTTGATTGAAAATCCGTGAAATCACCGTTCACCTGACTACAAAATCACCAAATCTAAGTTTGCCCCCACTTTTGACAGTAACCTCTTCCCCCCTTAAACTCAAGCGCCCTGTTTTCATACCTCTCTTGCTTTTTGTTCTTGGTTTCCTCTTAAAACACCCACACCTTTTTCTTTGTTTTTCGTTTTCATGTTTCACACTCGGAGAGACCCAAAACGTGGCTTCACAGAGAGAAACCGTGGGAAGAGAAGGTAAAACAAAAGAAAGAAAGGGGCTGAAGGGCTTTGGTTGGTTGAGCTCCAAATAGATGGGGGCACTGGCTCCAGTCGTCTCCACTTGGATACCCGAAGATGACCTTTTGTTGAAGAACGCTATTGAGGTACTTGTTTTTTCTTTTTTCGTTGCTTGGTTTTGAAGAGAAAAAAAGGAAGAAGAAGAAGGATTGGTTCTTTTTCATGCTAGTTTCAGGAATTTGTTTTGCTTGTTGTGGCCTCAATTGGAAATTTCTTGTGTTTGTATTTGCTGTCAACTTGGAAGTAACCATATACTCATGGCTAAATTGGTTTTTTTTTTTTCCTATCTAGTAGCTGAATGATAATGCTTTTTTATTTTCTTGCCCCTTCTATCTTCTTGTTTTATTTATTGGAATTGCAGAGCTTATTTAGTCTTGTGGATGTATGGCATTGTCAGTGTTCTGGTTTTGAAATTCTGGGTTTATCGTGTTGAAGCATGGATTGTTTGCATTATAAGGCGTCTGTCATAAAAAGAGTTAGAAGATTCTTGCATTTAAGTTTATAAAGTTAACGGTTTCTGATATTCATAAGATTATCCTGTTGTTGTTGTGTTAGCATGATGGTATCACCATACTCTAGTTGAATTTTCTTTTTGTTGTTTATGGTCCTTTGAATTATGTTTTTACTTTGTGAAACCTTGTTGCATTCTATTTCATTGTATCCGTTTGCAGGCTGGTGCTTCTTTGGAATCTCTTGCCAAGGGTGCAGTGCAGTTCTCTAGAAAATTCACCGTTAGAGAACTGCAAGATCGATGGCGTTCTCTCCTTTATGATCCAGTTGTTTCTGAGGAGGCTTCATCTCGCATAATTGAGATTGAACGTTCTGCTTCTACCTTGTCTTCAAAATTTGGCAGAACGGGAAATTCAAAAGATAGCAAAAGTTTGTATGGGAAGAGAAAGTCTGAGAGCGTACATAGCTGTTACTATGCGATGCGTAAAAGAATTCGAAATGAGCCCCTTAACCCAATGGATTTGGGTTTCCTTATTGCGCCTAATGATGGCAACTATATTGGGATTGAAGATGAGCCTCTTCCTGGAAATGGCATGCTTGGAAATCCAATCTCAGATCATTTTGGAGTTCAAGAAACAAATATGGATATAATGAATTGTTCTTTTCCGCAAATGTTAGCTGCTGATGGTGGTGCTGGAGCTAGGGATGAGTGCACAACAGATGGCTTTCAGACAACTATTAATAAGCAAGATGATGATGGTTTTCCTGCTGAGCCAGTTAATATACATAAGGAAATTCCTCATATACTCAGAGAGAATCAATTTCTAGTAGAGAGTGAGAATATCTGCTCCGAGTTTGAGGGTAACCAGGTCTTCAACTCACCAATTGTGGAGTGTGGGTTGTCAATCTGGAGAACTGATGAAGGCTTGTCTGCATCTGCTATTCCCTCTGATGATGGTCATGGGGAAAAAGACCTACATGGAGGAGATATATATGCACTTTCCGGTGACGGTGTTGCTAAAAGCGATCATGTGACCGGACATGATGTTGTTGGTATAGATTCCAAGTTGGAATCAGAAATACCATGCGAGGAATTGGAAAATCAAACGGCTGATACGGAAGGTTATTTGGTGGAAATAACCAATACCCTTATGAATGATGAACCCTTTTTCATGGATGTTGATGCAAAAGATGTAATTGATAAGTCTTACTTTGATGGTCTGAGCTCACTTTTGGCAAGTTCACCAAATAACTGTGATCAAAATCAGATGCCTGATGTAACTGAAGCTATGACATCAGAAACAAAAGATAATCTTGCTAATTTGTCTTGTTCACATCTTGGTGAATTGGATGGATTAGCAGGATCTTGCGCTGCAGATGGGCCTCTGTCTTGCAATGCAGAGGTCCTGATGCTTTCTTCTGTGTCAACTTCAAATAGTCAGTTCCCTGAACTGACTAATGGTATCATTTGTTGCACATTAAATACTGAGGACCCAGAAATTCCGTGCAATGAAGATGTTGTCTTCCCCAAACAGCTGTGTCCATTGCTAGCTTCCTCAACACGACATGTTTTTAAAGAAGCTGGCAATCCTTTATCTGCATGTGTAAAAGATTTTTCTGGGGGTCAGAAAACTAGTGAGGGAGGTCCCCTTCTGGTTCAGAGAGATCAAAAAGATCCAAGGCAATCTCATGGATCTTCTAAAATGAAAGGGTCACATATGATACCAGAAATGGGTCAACTCCATCTAGTTAGCGGTTGCAGAGTTAAATTTGAGGATTCCTCATGTTTACCACCTAGAAGTGATGGCTTTCTAGCCAATGGTTCAGCTCAAATTAATTCCAAAAATGTTAGTGAAGGCACTCTCCAACCAACACTGCCAAAGGAAAAGAATGAAGAAATTATATCAGGAAAGCAACTGAGTCATAGTTCAGCTGATTCTGTAATAGAGAAACTAGCTCTTTGTTCTGATAGCCACAACAGTTATTCACTGGTGAATTCTTCTTCCATTAAACAAGAAGTGGATGCTCTAGAAATGATTAAAGATCACCAGGCTTTAAGTGCTGAGGTGGGATCCACAGATATTATTTCTCCAGAACCCGTTGTTGATCATCCACCAACAGATCTTGAAGAGTTAATGATTGAAAGTGATGATGATGTTCCTTATTTCTCAGATATCGAGGCAATGGTATGTCTTCAACTACTATTGATTGTCACTTTTATTATTGTCATCATTATTGACTCCTTTCATTCATGTTGTTTTATGGTGTATGAACAGATCCTTGATATGGACTTGGATCCGGATGACCAAGATTTGTGTGATCAGGGAGGTAGTGTTTCAACCCACTTAATTTTAAATTGCTAACTTGTACTTGTATCTGTTAATGTTCTGCTCTAGTAGTTTGGTAACACCTGCAGTTACTGATTTAATTTACCTCCATCTATAAGCATTTTGAGGAGAGATAAAAAAGTGTTATTTTGCTTCCCCATCTCCACCTGTTGCGGGTTGTTCAAATTTGATCTTTTCTTATTTGAATCTGGAATATTGTCTTCTAGACATGGAAGATAAATTTGTCTTTCCATGCAGTCGCTAGATATCAGCATGAGGACGCTAAAAGAGCAATTATAAGGCTGGAGCAGGCTTCACATTCTTACATGCAAAGGGCCATTGCATCACATGGAGCCTTTGCCATTTTATATGGCCGCCATTCCAAACATTATATTAAGAAACCTGAGGTATTCTAAAACTAAGAAGTCTTTATTTTTAAGCTTTTCTACTATGTCCTTACTTTTACCATTCTCCTCAATGTTGCCTTTCTGATTTGAACAATGTTTGCTAAAATAATGCTATGTTTTAATTAAATGGTTTCTTAATCATATGTGTAACCAAGTCCTATTAGAAGGCTATGCTTTGTGAAGTGCTTATTGGTATTTGTTGAAGCCAAACACTGGATAAATAACTATTCCTGGATAGGAAACTATATTGTCCAAGGAACCATCTAGTATTTTGTCCTTATTCGTTTTATAGGCTTAATGGGAATCTTGGAGTTACCTTCCAACTTCATCAAAATTCCATGGCTTCATTTTTGGAGCTTGCTATCTGAAGCTAGTAGAGGTTATAGTTTTTTCTTCCTAGGTAAGTAAATTAAAATTGATGGATCAAATTTCAGTAATACTTTATAATTTTGATCATGTAGATTTTACTTGGTAGAACGACAGAAGATTTTGTTGTTGACATTGACTTGGGAAGAGAAGGGTGTGCTAATAAAGTGTCAAGGCGGCAGGTAATATTTTCTATGACTTGATATTTATGTATTATATGTAGTAATAAATATGCTTTTTTTTTGGGTTAATGTCATGAGATTAACCCCTAAACAATAGTAAAATATTCAGTGTAATACCTGAACTTTAAGGGGTGTTTCTTTGAACTGAAACACAATATTTGGATTTTTTTTTTCTGCATGACTAGATGGTTTTTGATTTAATAAGCATTTATTACAGGTATGGCAATTAGTGCGTATCTTTGAACAGAAATGCTGAAATGCAGTATTTGGCATTTAATTTTTTTTCATCTGTTTGACTTTATGGCTTTTGATTTAATGAGTGTTTATTATAGGTTTGTCAATTATTGCGTTTCTTTGAAGCTAAACGCAGTAATTGTTCATTGTATTTGCTCAATTGCTGCTTTTTTTGGATGATTTAATGCAGTAATTGATGACTAATTATATTTTTTATAATTGACTACTCGAATATTGCGTTTCCTGCATTTCTTTGATGAAATTAATGCAGTAATTGACGTATTGTTGTGTTTATTATGTAGTGAAGGATATTATAGTAAAAATACATGATTAAATAATATCATATTACTCCCAACCAAACATAGGAATCTAAAAACGAGACACCATGAAAAATCACATTTCCCCTTAAATCACACCTTCCCAAGGATCTCATTTTTCCCCGGAATCTAAGATTCCTCTAACCAAACACCTTAAAAAAATCTCAAATGTAATACTTAAACTTTGAATTCGTTAATTAATGTGATATTTACTCCTCACATAGCTAGCTTCAAATTATGACACGTGATGAACAAACAACTTTCCCAATACCATATTAGTTGATATATTCATGGTTTAGGTACCACATTAGAGAGTTTTAAATTTCAGGTACTACATTGAACATTTCAATATAGTTTAAAAACCATTCATGAGATTAACTTTTTTGTCTCTATTTTTTGAGCATTTCATAATATGGTCAAGCCATTATAGCTATAAATAGTTATACCACTTAAATGATTGTCTATTAATCTGTCGTACTACTTTTATGGTTCCTCTCATGTATTTAGGCAATTATCAAGATGGAAGAAGATGGATCATTCCATCTTAAAAATCTTGGCAAGTGTTCGGTGGCAATAAATAGCAAGGAAGTAGCTCCAGGACAGAGCCTGAGCCTGAACTCCAGTTGTTTGATTGAGGTGCTGTTTTGATATTTCTTACATAAATATATGGTAACGAGTATTGGACATCGCAACATGCATGCTCTGATGCCGTAGACATTTGTTCTTTTCATATTCGAGTTTAGCTATGAATGTTTAGAGAAGTTTTAAGCTATGGCATGGTTGGATATGTAAACCATCTTGATCGGCTGTAAATGGTGATTTTGCAGATAAGGGGAATGCCATTCATCTTTGAGACAAACCAAACTTGTGTGAAGCAGTATTTGAATGGTGTCGGAAAAAAAAAGTTCCACTCGGGTGCTTCATGTTGAACATGTCATGTTCGATGACCCTGTGAGGAGGTGCTCAATTACACAGCGTTTTGTGGGCAGAGATGGATTTACGATTGGGGGCAATTCCTCTCCCGCTGGAATCCCAACAAAACCTATTGTAATTAAAACAAGTTTAAGAAAAAATTTAGATTCTGTAATCGATTGAATTTCGGTTAGTGTCTCAATCACTTTTACATGTGCGAAAGAGGATATATAGATTCAATTTTCATCCTTTCAAAATTTCACTGAAATCATTACAATTTCCGCTTTCCTGCTACTCCTTCCTTCGCAGGCTCACATTTCAATCTCAGGTCCGAAAAGAATTCCTAGAAATTACACCCAACAAACAAGCAACCAAAAAAAGGGGAAAGAAGTTCTGGGGAAGAAGATGGCCCTCTATCTCTGTCTACGTTCTATCGGTTTCATGATCACACTTCGAAGCTATTGTTTGCAGCAAATCCTAAAACATATTTAATAATGCTTAGAATAATTTCATGCATAAATTTCTTCATCAATTCTGATCTAATTAATTTCATTTTCTCTGAATTTTCTACAATTCCTTTGTGAGGATCTCAAAAGGATTCCCTTTCTTCAATTCTCATCTCAATATTTACGTCAAGAATGACTGTTGCCATCAAGATTGGGTGGCATCCATTTTATATAAGCAAGCTCTTTCCAATGAGTGGTTCCATGTGCATCGTTCACATTACCCGTACACAGCATTAAAGACTCTTTTTAAGCTTTTGCCGTTCTTTTAAGTTTCGGATCAAAATAGTTTTTTGTTCGTTTTGAATTTAATTCGATTCGATAATTTTTTTATTAGTTTATATTTAAATTTGATTTGATATTATATAAAATTATATTTAATTTGATCTGATTTAAAATTAATAAAATATTATTTTTAATATAAATATAAAATTAAATATATATAAAAATATATAAATAAATAATTTTTTTATATATATTAAGTCAATATGATCGAATTTACCTAAAATTTAATCTTGATCTGACTTCAAATTTTTTTTTATGTCAACCGATTTGATTCGACTTAATACTCAATTTTTAAAATAAAAAAAATCAAATCAAGTCAAAACTCGCGATTTTGAATTTTTTTGTCTTTCTCTAATTTTATATGATGATTTCATTTTCTGATAACATTCCTGGAAATTTTTTCTTCTCTTTCACATTTGCCCCGGAAGAAATTCATAAGCAATGATTTGGTTCATTAATTGTGGTTCCCGTGCGTGTATAACATCGTTTCCAAATCTTTTTAGGCAGTACTCTAATAAACACCAGTGCCAGTGGTTATCTTCATTTTTATCAACTTTGAAGGTGGTCCAACCCTTCATCATCAAAACTGGTTCGACTAGATCTGGGATCTCTAACTGATTATGCGCCCACACCAAGTTCCACCAAGTTCAAGTGATAAAAATGCTTACCAAGCCCATGTATAGTTTAGCATAGAGAGTTGGACCTTTCTAAAGCTTTTATTGCGTTTGTACAGGATGCAGAAAGAATGTTGGCTCAGTCTTTAAGTTAGCTTGATTTGATAAACTCGTTTTAACGTTAGCCTTGCCTAAGTCCTTCCTTGAGTCAGAAACCACATCTATTTTGTAAATTGTAAGGCAAGCTTGGCCTAAACTGAAGTCAACTCATTTAAGCCTTAATTTTAAGGTAAGTTGGGAGTGATGTACAAACTAGCATTTGTCTTTTAGGGATAAAAAGATAAGGGATTTGAGCTCGAAACTTATGATTTATAAAATCATTCAATAAATTTGATATTTAAATTATAGTAATTATAATCTATTTCTCTATTCTTAAGATGAGACATTACTTGATATTAAAATTTACTAGATTAAAATTTACTTGATATTTACTTGACATTACTAGATTAAGTCACAACTTTTAATTGTTGGTTGCTTTACTAAAATTTATGTTGATTATTTGATGAAGAATTTGTGAATTTGATTGTAGTTTCATTAACAAAACGGTTTGGATGGACTGCATATCACTTGAAATATGAATCTGATGTCTTAGGATTATATCATCTGTAAAATTTTCAAGATGGCCAAATCTTAAATTTTTAATTTTTATCACTTGGAGATATGCAAATCTTGGCTGCTCTCCTCATTCTTCCAGCTTCTTGCTGTCCTCATCTAAGGCAAAGGGTTGGCCTCAGATTGCACTGAATTAAGGATGTAAAATTTGTAGCCAAACAGCCCTTGGAAAGGCAAATGGGGCATGGGTTGGGGAGGGGGGGGGGGTTGCCATTGGCCAAGTGGGAACCCGATTGTGAGTAGAAAGCCCTTTATTTCTGGCCAATGGTAAACCTTATCTAACATATCCTACGTTCATTATTAATGTTGAAGATAACTGAAGATCCAACTCTTCTCTCTACCAAAGATCTTTGTTCCCCATACTTCTCCTGTCCCTTTCTCCCATCCCATACTTTTTTTCAAGTCATTCCTAAAATATTCCTCTTAAGCAACTTACCTTTATTCTTTCTCTTTCCTTCTCTTCAAGTTAAATTGGCCTTTTGAATGACTAGGTTCCTGACTAAGTATGGTCAAATATTGGCTGCCTTATAAATAAATACGAAAATAAATGTTTAATTATTGATATATATGATCACTCCCATAAACAAGAACATGGATTCAAACGTTATTGAACAATTCAACATTCAGCATATTAGCAAGTTATCTTGAAATAGGATTTCATTAATAACAGGTGTCAAAACTCCTATTATAAAGAATAATATATTATCTATATATGTAAAATAATATAATGATGTGGATCTTTGGATTCCTGGAGGTTGGAGCTAGCTATCATAATTTTTCAACCAGCCTTTAATTTAATGCTAGCTAAGCCTCTTTTTTTTTTATTTGTAAGTCTCCTCAATTATTATTTTGACATGGTATACGTATAATGATAAAAATGATATTTGAATGAGGGTGAAATGTTAAATGTGATATGAAAATTTTAAAAATTTTTAATATGATATTTATATTATGAATTTATTAATTAATATTATATTTGAAAGGTTGTTTGTCTTTCATGTATTATCATTTGAGATTAATTACGTTAAAAATAAGTATCACATTAATTATTAAATTTATAATTCATGTATTACGTTAAAAAATTTAAAATTTAAGTATCACATATATTAAACATTTTATTATAATTCAAATGTCATTTATAACATTAACTCTATTAATATTTATATTCAAAGTTTTTTATAAAAAAAATATAAATATTGAGATTAAAATCTCAAATTTATTAAAATTTAGCATTATTATCTTTTAAAAATATTGCATAAACCAACTTTTTAATTGATATTCAAGTTTGATTTCCTTAAAAAAAAATGGTTGAACAGTTATGGAATCAAAAGAGAAAGGCATTTATTCATTTCATATATATGAATGTGATTATATCTTTGAAAGCCAGAAGAAAATGTTGTTTGTCCTGTTTTGATTTTCTTCATTGCGCGTTACTGTAATATCTATCTGACCCATTACTTTTTGCTGATCCTTTTGTGGGCATAAATCCACATTTTTTGCTAACAATTTCATAAATATGCAGTACTATTGTTTGGTTGACATGCTTGTTCATTGCCAATGAGAAACTTATGGGCTGTCCTTGAGCATGGTTAAACATCATCCCGAGAGAGAGGCTGGCTACACTTTCACACCAATCTCCAATATAAAAAAAGGACAATATACAACTCAGCTAGCTAATTAAATTAAATTATATTGTTCATGTTCAAACCTTTTTCCAGTAATGCAGGCACGTGGGAGGGTGCTGATTGACCCTTCCTTTTTAGACATCTTCACCATCCCTGAATGGATGAGAGAGAGAAATGGGAAATTAAAAAAGAAAGTAGAGGAAAATATCTGCTCTGTCTAGTCTAGATAAAAATCAACATGAATAAATTCATTATCGATGTTAGCGTAAGTGGTTAAGATGTAAAGTTTGGATACAAAATATTTAAATTTAAATTTTTATGTATTTTTTATAAATAATTTATAAATTTAAAAAATTTTAAACGATTTAAAAGTTTTATTTATGAATTAATAATTTATTTTGACTTTAAAAATAAAATAATATTCTTTACTGTTAAATTCTTCTAAAAAAAAAAAATGAATAAATCGACGATACGTATGTGTAAGAGAGTCAAATGGGAAATTGAAAGAAAATAAAGTGAGAAGTAAGTAGACAAGAGAGGAGATCGAAACAAGGACTGGTCGCCCATTAGCCGACACAACTTCTCCATTAAAATACGAGGCAATACTGATCACTCACATCGACAATCGAGACTCTTCTCTTGCTATTTTTAGCTTCAAAGGTGAGAAAAGAATCCCATGAATTCTTAAATCCCATGCTTTGCCTCTTGATTTCTTTCTATATATAGTTTCATCGAAAGTGTTGAGATAATACTTCAAAGGAGAATTCTTTGCCCTTCTCGAGAGATGGCAGCACATGTTTCATTCATAGTTAAGCTTTTTTTATTGCATGCTGAAAGGAGCAAACGGTTATGCTTCTTATTATGTTGTTTTTAGATAGCTATATTCATTAAACCATCTGACCACCTTTTTACTATAAGAATACCACGGCTTTGCTTTGTATAATAAAATAAGATTCACAGCAATGAAAGAGGCAAATTTCAGAATTGTTTTTGTTTGCGTAACTGACAAAACTAGCATGGTGAGAGTACTGTGGTCCCATTTTACAGTAAATGCAGAAGCAACATCTTACCATACGAGGGATTCAGCTAATCAAAATAAATGCATTAATATTCTATTGAATTGGGGATTGAATTTAGAATGAAATTCCATCTCGTTTCATCCCCAACTATTTTACTACTAATTTCAGTCATGGGATGCATTCTCTTTTGCTTTCAATAATTAACCCTTTCTTTTGCAGAATAAAGCACACACATTTTGTTTGATGATGTCAAACATATTTAATTGAAAAAAAAGAATATAGTAATTGCCTAATGAGTGCCTCTCCACAATTACGAAAAGAAAACTAAAAAAACAGATAGTGTAGAATAGTATATCAGGCCCACAATATAATATTGACAAAATTAAAATATTATTAAAAAATAGTAATTTAAAAATATAACTCATAATCTCATTCTTCACAATAGGAACTAATAATTGGTCAAAAAAAAAAAAAAAGGAACTAATATTATTGTAATCTTATTTTAAAATAAAATTGCAAATGAAGGCAAAATCCATTATTAAACAAGTGAAAGATCAAGAGAAAAGTGTTAAGATTGATGATTACTTTTTGTGTTAGTTTTTATATAATAATAATAATATAATTTTTTAATTTTACAATTGAATTAAAAAAATATCAGTCTTATTTTTTTACTAATTTTTTTAATATATCCTAAAAATATTTTTTTAATATATCCTAAAAAAATACTTCATCATATTAAAAAAAAGAAAAAACACCATAAAATGTGAAACTACAGCATCCGAAATATGAATCCCCATAGTAATCTATTCGATGGTTCACTCTTTACTATTTACTCTAACAGATACGCTTATAAGTTATAACCCTCTCTTTTCAACTGTTTTGGGTTCCCAACTTCCACAGTTTCATAGTATTCCTCTCTTTCAGGGAATCGAAAGTGATCGGATTGGACTTTGGAGCAAAAGCTCAGCAGACAGATGAAGATTCAGTGCGACGTGTGTAACAAAGAGGAGGCCTCCTTGTTCTGCACCGCAGACGAGGCCGCCCTGTGCGACTCATGTGACCACCAGGTTCACCATGCCAACAAGCTTGCTTCCAAACACCAACGTTTTTCCCTTATCCATCCTTCCTCTTCTAAACAAGTCCCTCTTTGCGATATCTGTCAGGTATTTCCCGTTCTTGCTCTTTGTGTTCGTGTAGTTTTTATACTTTTTATTACTTTGTAGAATTGCGTTGAAGTTGGTGTTTTGATTGATTGATTTTGGGTTTTTTTTTTAGGAGAAGCGAGCTTTCTTTTTTTGTCAACAAGACAGGGCAATCCTATGCAGAGATTGTGATGTTCCAATTCACTCAGCAAACGAACATACCCAGAAACATAACAGGTTTCTTCTTACAGGGGTTAAACTCTCCGCAACTTCTGCTCTCTACACATCCTCCTCTTCATCGTCCATTGCTTTCTTATCCAACGTTGGTGATTCTGTTCCTGAATGCAAATCTCAACCTTTGGTTAAGAATCCCGTCTCTGCTTCTCCAGCAAATTTCAATCCATCTTCACTAGCTAAGTCTTCATCCGTTAGTACAACTACAGCTGCAGCAGTAATTAACAAGAGCAGTGGAGATAACCTGTTAGCAGGTGAAGGGGGTGGTTCGACTAGTAGCATATCTGAGTACTTGATAGAAGTGCTTCCAGGCTGGCATGTTGAAGATTTCCTTGATTCCTCGTCACCTCCCTTTGGTTTCTGTAAGGTTTGCATTGATCCATCGTTGATCTATTGTTTTCCGTTTTTTCAATTTGATTTTTGAATGATGTGATTTTCTTTGGGATCTGAATAGTTCTACTTTTTTTTTTCTGGTCTAATTTTGTCAGAGTGATGATAATATGTTGCCATTTCTTGACACTGATATTGAGAGCCATACGAGTACTTTCTCACCAGAGAGTTTAGGGCTTTGGGTTCCTCAGTCACCATCTTGCCTGTATCCTCCACAATATTCTTCACAAATGGGAGGGCAAATTGGGTTCAAGGAGACCAAGGAAATCATAGGCGCGAAAGCTAACAGGAGATTGACAGATGATGCCTTTACAGTTCCACAGATCTGCCCTCCATCCGTTGGCTCCAAGAGATCTAAGCCTCTCTGGTAAGATCAGTTTTTCAAAATACAAATGCTTCGTATTCTCTTAAAGTTTGACGAAGGGCTTAAGCCTCAAGTTCCCATCTTTGCCTTTTCTTTGTATTTTCCCATTTCTTGCTAAGTTGATTTCTGTTTGTTGTTTCTTTTTCCCTACTCGAATAGGCATGGTTTTGTTTGTAGTATTTTCTTCCTTTCTCCCCTTTTTGTACTTGCAAAATGCTACAACTTTGTAAATATCAATTAAAATTTTCAAAGTTATTTTTCCTTCCTTTTATTCATCTTCAATTCAGATCTTCAGTTAAAGATTACAATCAGTCAGAACATAGAAAAAATCTAAAACATTGAAACTGGGATCTAGCAAATGATGTGTCGTTATCAGAAAATCCAAAAAGAACACTGAAAAATCTCGAAACATTGAAATGAAACTGTCCCCAACAGACAGCCAAGGAAACAAGTACTCTCCCTTTTGGTCGGGGAGATGTATCATGTTATGGTGATTAAAACTGACAGACGACATTGTAGGAAGGAAGGTACAAGAAGAAGCAGAAGATAGATGATAGCTATGATGAATTGATGATGGGATCGGATAAGGAAAGGGGGGAGAGGTAGGCAAAAAGGGATGGTCTGGATCTCTTAAAGCAGATTGAAGTGTCCTGGTGGGGACAAGCATACCCCAAATGCCAAAACCTATGAGATAAAATGAAACAAAATAGGAAAACAAAGGGAATTCAGGACTAGTTGTGAATTAGTCAGGGTTTCTTGCAGACTTGCAGCTGTACTTCCCAGTACTTTTGCTACTTTCCAGTCTCATTCCCTAGTTTCTACTTTTGGTATACTTGCTTAATTCGATTTCTTATAAACATGACTTGATTAGTTGCAAACTCAAAAAATAACATCATTCCAAATAAAGCATACATAATCCTGAATGTATGCTTTGATTTTTATGGTAAACATCGTCCATGTTCACTTTTAGGACCAGAAGAAGAGAAAACAACATATCTTTTCTGGATTTACATCAATCATAGTCTCGTCATTTTATCATTATGAACGTGCTTATGTTACAGTCTGAAAGTAGTAATAAGGCCGCTCAAAAATGACAACTTCACGGTCAATCTGAGTGAGTATTGGTGGGGGGCCGAAAGGTTCATCTTTGTGTCGACCACGAAAACGATAGCCCTACCTAAGGTAACTCGTTGAAGAGCCCTGTCTAACGCGAAATCATTGTGCTGCCAATGCGCCCCGCCCCCCCCCCCCCCCCCCCCGGGTTTTTTTTCTCACTTTCTGGTGGGTTCAGATGAGCAATAATGAGCTTTGTTCCTACACTTCTTACTTGAAATATGACATCAACATCTTAATTTGCTTGATTATGGCTGGTGTGGTTTTTTGCCATCTTTCTTCTACACGTTGAAGGGTCGATTCCACCCTATCCGCCCATCGTACTAAATAAAAAACCCCCAAAATCTAAAAAATATATCCCATAATAAAAGAGAAAAACTTCAAGATATATACAAACTCAAAATCATAAAGCGGAGAAAAGATAAGTTTAAGTAAGAAAGGACTCGAGTGTGGTGGGCAAGTGGGTCTGTTCTTTTGGTAGTGGCAGCCACAAATTTGTCATGGATCTTCGACTATATATCTGCCCGAATATTTTCTTCTTTACTTTGGGTCGAACCTGTTCTATGGAGGCTAAGCGGAAACGAAATAAGCGGCAGGGCTCTATTCCTTCTAGATATCTCCCTTTTACTTTCTTTTTCTTTTTTTTTTTTTTTTAAGTTTTACACTTTTTTATCTTAATTTTTATACATTTATATTCATATAATTTGATGCTTGTATTTCATATTCTATTCATGCAGATAATACACGTCAAATGTCAAGTTAGTTAAAAATGTCTAACTATTTGTTTTATATAAAAAATTTAATCTTTAAATATATAATTATATATTGAAAAAACAATATTTTCAATCAATCAAATAAAAATATTGGATTGGATATTTAAAATTTTATGTGCACAATAGATATGATTATGTTATTAAATTTTATAATCAATTTGTTGAATATTAATCGTACATGAAAGTATAAAAAAATATATAATTTGATACCTTCTCATATATATATATATATATATATTTGTAAAGTTGATTGGAACTTTTTGAGTAATAATTCATATCTATTTTAAACCTTAAGTGCAAAGACGCTGAATTGAAGACTACCAATGAAGAAGAATCATGGCATCAATTTTCCTTGTTGTATGGACGACAACATATATATTATTGCTAACTATATGATGTATATCATCAATTTTTATTTGAACAATTAATATTTTAAATCTAATTTGTATTAATCACAAGTCACACGAAAAAGATATACAGAAGGCTCAGGGTATGGCAACTTCTGAATCCAAAGTTGACTGCAAAACTACCATTTTGATGAACCACAACACAAACTGATTGAGATGTATACGTTTGAGCACTAACATGAAAATGCATACAATATTTGTCCAAAAGAGGTTTTCCATTGTCGCATTTTCTCTTTCCCTTCTTGTGTTGAGCAAAAACAGGAAAAGAAAAAGAATCACCCCAAGAGGCATATAAATAGATTAAAAATAAGGGAATCCACCTAAAACATTGCATAATAATAGAAAGGTTTACACATCGTATTGTGGATTATCTAAAGAATTACAATTTTGAAGGAGCAAAATGCAGAAATATTGTTCAATGAAATGGACCTGTATATATTCTTAGGTCCTCTTCAAGCAGGAAAATGGCCAATCAATCCCGAAATGATTTTGCATAAGTATACCGCCTGTCTTTTGCATGGGGAACCGGAGAAGCATAGGCTCCACCTGATCTGGGTGTGGGGTTCCAAACACCATAATCCTCCAGGAAATTATTAGCTTTCTGATGATAATCCTGCTGCAGCAGCTGATAGCTTTCCCTGATCTCCTGATCACCTCCCTGCTGCTGATTCTTTTCCTCATCAGTCGGATGGAAGAGAAGAGATGCTGGTGAAGATGGTGATGATAATGGCGACAATATTGGTGATGATTCTGTTGTTATCATGGGCATAACCGATGTCATTATAACCAACGTTGTCACACCAAAAATGTGCATGACTGACCTCTCACTTAAGCTTGACATGCTTATCTTGCGCTTGAATGCAGCCTGTATACTACTACTACTTAAGCTATATACATATCTTGAAGCCTTCAAGATTTCATGTCATATCTTTCAGTTCACAAAATAGTTGGAGTAGTATAATTTATGAGAATTACAATTTGTTTAATGTCGGCCTGACTGGAACCATAGCAGTACAGTACTGCTTGAATTAAACTGATCTTCCTTATGATCATGCCCAATGGATGATTCCAATTTGTTATTTGCATGTTATTTAAGTGTTTGTCTTTTCCCATTAACTGGGAAAGTACCTCAAAAAATGGATCCAAAAATTAATGAAATGGGCCAGATTAAGCTTCTTTAATTCTGTTTCATTTTGGGCATTGGGCTAACTAGGCTTTGAAACCAAAAATTAAACTTTCCGTTGCCGGGACTTACACCCGGGTCTCTCGGGTGAGAACCGAGTATCCTAACCACCTAGACTACAACGGATTATTCGATACTTAACCAACTACTTTTTATAAGATCGCTTATGTGCATAAAGTAAAGATTCAGAGGTTCAGGCATGTTTTCCATCCCAAAAATAAAATATTAATGACTTCGGATTGCCTTCTTGACGTTTGCAATACGATTGAGTTGTGTTATATACATGTTTTCAATCTGTTTGCTTTGTCACGGATTTCCTTAGTGGAGATCCTGATGATAAAAGCTGGAACCAAGCATTTAGTTTTTGCAATTATGCATTTGGATGGAGAGTAAAAACCTGAAAAAAAAAATGGTTTAACAAAAGAGGTAAGTGGTTGGTTTGACCGGAGTATTCCCCCCCATGGAAGATCATCTGAAATTGTCTGATCTCTGATGAAAGATTAATTGTGACATTTGTAGGTCTTGAAGTAGTCCTTCCATGTACTTCAGACTATCATTCTCCTTACTAAGAAATAGACAATGACTATAAACAGCTAGGTTTTTTAAGTTGAATAAAGTTTGATAATCATCAACGTGTTCATCTATTTCACTTAAGATTATACTTTATGTTTGCTCTAAACTGTACCTTTTCAACAATGTTTGATTTGTTAAAGAATTGAATATTTTTTTTTCCAGTGTCAGACCTCAAAACCCCACCATTAGAATGGATAGGGAGCAAATTTTGGTTTACTCTGTCTAAATCTACGTACATAGGTCAACTATATTACCTGTTATACCGCAAGTCCCAACCAATGATGGTACCTAGACCAAGGAAAAGAAACCAGGGGATGAAATTTAATGCTGCTTTCTAAAGGATCAAAATACCTGCAATTACCAACAGAATACATATGTATATATGCTAATGCCGAACAGGGAATAAAAGGGTATCCAAAATCTTGTCTGCAAGCTACTAACCATAATGATAAGTTGTACTTAAGTTCTGTTTGGTTAGTACTTTTTTGGTTTTTCTTTTAGAAAGCAATGAATATCAGAATATGGAAGAAGCTTAAATCACAGTTAATTTAGAGAATTCCGATAGTACTGATCTGCAGTTATTGCTATTCCTCACTTTAGTAATCACCAGAAATTCATGCCACCTCACAGTTAAAAAGGCAGGAATGATGATTTGGTAAGTCAATCTCCTCTTTATGACCATTAACAATATTCTATTAAGCATACACCAGTTTCAGATCTTTCCCACTACTTTCCCAAAATTAAACTGAAAGCCAGATATGAGATCAACTCTTTCTACTGACTATATTTATTGCAGTTGGGAGTTTCAACAACTAGGAAAGTATCATTTCTCTCTTTCTTGAAGATAAAGCATTGTGATTGTCTTCAATGGCTGGGCCTGCAATCACCTGCCAAGAAACGATATGCACGGGTACACAGATATTTACTCCATGGGGTCATTAAGACCGGTGGTTTGTAACAATAACAACAAATACTCGAGTCGTTTTTGCCTTAATCTCGAACAATAGTCAAGTAGGCAAAACTATAATAAAAAATTCGAAATTCACAAAATAAGAACATGAACTGGTGGAGTAACTATAAATTCATCAATTTAGTATGCAACTACATCAGCTGAATAGTCTGAGCAGAATTAATGTGCTGCACCCCCCAAAGGATAACATAATATCTTTTTGTTGGCCAATAAAAACATTAACATTTGTTTCTCCGGTGAACATCTTGTCCAAACAAATTGAACACTACCCAAAAAATGAAGCAGAAGATGATACAGTGAGTAAAATATACACCATCTCAAGTTTATTTTCCCCAAAAACGGAAGAGTTAAAATGATGTCGACAACAACTGTTACAGAACAGAAATATATCAGAGCCACAACTTGAGAACGGGTTATAATACAAGAGCATGATGCCCACTGAAAGCATTGATGAACTATATATTGCACAATGAACACTGGATGACTAAAATAACACAACGGAATTGTACAAGATTAGCCTTTAAAGCAACTAGCTACGGAGCTTTGTGGGACTGCAAATTAAAGCACAAGCACCTATCTTTCATAGCTTCAGCTTCACTTCCATACTCTTTGAATTTATATTCATCCTGTTTAAAGCTAGGGGGAACCTTCCTCTCACTGTAGCATTGATTACACAGACTAAAATGAGACTTCACTTCCTTAAAGCGGAAACCAATAACTGGGTAATGGCAAACTGAGCAAAAATGGCGTCCATGTCGATTCCTATCTCCAGTTTCTAACTTCAACAGAGTGGACATGATACCAAAGCCCCAATCAGGGTCATCAAACAACACAATGAATTCATTGAAAGATACCATTGAGGTATCTGTTTCTCCATGAACTTCCAGCATTTCACTAACTCCATGAGAAGGAATATAAATAGCCCTCAACAATTTGATGTACTGAACAGCATCTACCTTTCTAATCTGCGAACCACCTTCATTTACAGGTCGCCATAAGAGTGCATCAAAGGCAATCCTTTTTCGCTTATCTGGAGGTCCATTACAAATGGGGGCAAGAACAGCATAAAACATGCCCAAGTCCACCCTGCCTGATCCTGTTTCATCCAAGACAGAGAGAATTTTCTCATTTATAGCTTTGACAGCTCCTTGGAAGGTTTCAGGTTTTAGAAAATTAAGTAATCTGCGCAGAATTTCTTCCAAATTAGGCTTGCGTATGGATTTCTGAGGACCACCACTGCCAGAGTAGGAGACTGGTACATCAGTTTCATTCATTTCCTTCTTCAAAAGATCTACTTCACAACGGCTCAATCTAGTAATTCTCTGGAAAGCCCTAATTTGAATAGCAATTTCTAAATCCTGCCTCAATGTAGTCCTCTCACCCAATGTCTTGAATTTTGATGGCTCCACTATTACAAACGCCCCTTCACCATTGGCACCACCGTTCGTCTTTACCTTCTTCTTCTTCTGTAGCTGCTTCAGATGGTAAATGGCATCATGCAATTCAACCCTATTAGTCATTTTCAAAGCCTCCTTCAAAGCTTTCTTAGCTTCTTCAGTTTCTCCAGCCCCCAATAAGGACACAGCCTTATTGAGCTGTGCTCGCCAATGATTCGGCCACACAGCTAAAACCCTAGTGTACATCTCAGAAGCTCTCTGAAACCTACCCAAGTCCATATAAAGCCCACCTAGATTGTATAAAGCATCAACATGACCTGGTTTCAAATCAATAGCTTTCTGGAAAACCTCAATTGCTCTCTCATCCTCACCCATACCATGCAAAGCTGATGCTAAATCACAATGTGCATCAGCATAATCTGGTTTCATAAAAATAGCCTCTTCTAAAGCCTTAACAGCCGCCCTATATTCCCCAACCCCGAAAAGAGCACTACCCAAAAGTTTCAAAGCTCTAAAATGAGTAGGACAAAGAATAGCAGCCTCTCTGTAATACTCACAAGCACTTAAAACCATACCTTCTCCTTCAAGAGCTATCCCAAGATTGACATAAATTTGAGGAAGCAAGTAACCCCATTGATTCCCACCTGCCTCAGCTGATTCCAAAGCCAACAAAAACTCTTCTTTAGCTTCTTTATACTTCCCTAAACATACAAACAATTCCCAGCTCTAAAATGTGGCCTCACATCCATTGGTTGCAATTCACAAGACCGTTTGAAACTAATCAAAGCTTCTTTAAACAACTGATGCTCATATAGGACCCTCCCAATTGCCATGTGTCCATCAAATGCTTCTTCTCTTGACCTTGCTCCATCAGCTCTACTCCTTAAAGCTCCCAATTCTTTAACAAAAACAGCATAATCAGGCCCTGATTCTTCCCAATATACCCTTTTCTCTGAAAGCTCTGCAGACGGTCCTAATTCCCTCGACCACCCAGCATCCGAATATGCATCAAAGTTATCATTTTTAAATTTTCCATCTTTTGCTTGCTTAGCTTTCAATCTCTTCACCAAAATCTCCAAATCATCGACGAGCTTCCACGTGTCATCGAAAACTATCCCGTGATGCGGCGACACGGCCCACGCAGCCGTCCGTTGCTTCTTCTGCGACTCTATTACTCTCTCATCCACAATCGACGACGAAGATGCTTCGGCAACAATCGACGCACTTTTGCTTTCGTCGAAATTGAGCTCGAGACCCAGCGCGTCGAAGTCACGGTCCACGTCACCAGCTCCATCGTCGTAAGTTCTCAACAAACCGTCATAAGTTAACCCCTTTTCACCGTCAATGAACTCCCCATAGGTTCGGAACACTTCGTCCAGAATGGCGTTGATTTGTTCGTTGCTAAATTTGACTCTGGGGTTAACGGCGACGACTAACGCTGCCATTTCTTCTCTGTTAAGACCCCCATCACGGTTCGCGTCGAATTGCTGAAAAATCTTCTTCACCTTCTCTGATCTACTCCCTCTTGTCGCCATTTTCCCTACCTTTTTTTCTCTTTTCTCCCAGGATTGGAAACCAGAAATGAAAATGCCAACCAAGGCTATAGATTGGGAAATGAGAGGCCAAGAAAAAAAAAACAAAAAAGATGGGTTTTTTTTTATATAAATTAGAAAAGCTTGAAGAGGGAATAATAATTCTTCATTAGGGGTTTTTCAAATCTGTTTGGTTTGGTTTAATTTTGGGGTTTTGGAGATGTTCCTTTGGTTGCATTGGATCTGGCGAAGTAAAGGGGACGAAGAGGAAAGAGATGATGATATTTCTTCTTTTATTTTTATTTTTTTCAATTTTTTTTCTGGTTCAGATGATGAAGATGTGGGGACAATGAAACCCCACAAAAAGCAGACTTTTTTCTTTTCTTTTGTTTAGTTATTTTAATGAATTTTTGAACGTTTGGTTTTTGGAAGAGAAAGAGAGGAGAGAGGGAGCCTGGGATGGTTGGCTGGCAGTTGGCTAACAGGCTCATTTTGAGGCGAAAAGTGGACTAACCGCCAGCTGGCTACGCGACTGCAATTATCCTTTCTCTATGGGTGAAATTGCAAAAAGGGGCATTAACGTTATAATAATAGTATTACAACTAACCAAATTTAACATAAAACATGTGGAAAAAAAAAAACACGAAAGTGGTGAAGAAAAAAAACAATTACAAAGAAACAAAACATAGCTAGACAGAGATGAGGATTCACTCCCAAAATTAGCAATTAATCAAAAATTATTAAATTAAATTGTTTTCATTTTGGTAGTAAATATAAATAAAGCCTTTTTGAGGATTGGATGTGCAAATAATCTGGGCCATTGGATGGGCTTGAGCAAGAAAATTATATCAGTTCAGCTAGCGATAGTCTTGGAATATGGATGTTTAGATTTCGAGCCTTTGGGCTACTCGGCCCAAACTTTTAAGAAGGCCCGTGTTTGGCCTTTCAAATGGTGGACATGTGTATGGCGACAGCGTTAATACATAGAAAAGTGAAGGAAAAAATGGTAAATCTACATCCATTTTAGTTAGCGGAAGCGGTTACATTTGAAAGGTCGGTACTATTCTAAGTCAGAAAGAGAAACACGAAGGGAGGCAAAAGCAGCGAAGAACAACGGCATTACATTGCATTGCTGTTTACTCTCTCTTTCTCTTTCTCAAAATGCACTGTTGAAAATCCTTTTTTTTTTTTTTTTTTTTACTTTCGGTTGAGTTTGTTTTATTTTTTTTTATCTCATTTCACGGAATTTGATGCATCATTTTTAGCTGTTTTTCCGAAGTTTTTGGATCCGTTTATTGGCCAAAATTTTGTTTCTTTAAAAAAAAAAGGGAAATTTTAAAATTTTCAAAGTTTAATCTGTCGATTGCATTTGAAGGTCGAAGCGTTTTCATTGAGATTTCTCTTTGCTTTTTGCTGCTTGAATTGAAGCTCGAAGGTGAGAGGATTGTTTAAATTGCATTTAAAAAAAAAAACTTTTTTTTTTTATGTTCATTTTTTTGAATTTTTTTCTCTCATATATCATGGACGTTAATTCTCGCGTTTTCATTTGGAAGATAAGCGACGGGAAAACAGAGAAAAAGGCTTCGAAGCGGTAACAACGACGTGATTTCAGTGAAATTTGGGAAAAAAGGGAACAATAGAGAGGCCTTTACCTTGAAACAAAGGCAAATTTTGTTATTTGTTTGTGAAGAGAAAGAGAGGAAAAATTAAAGGTGAAGAAAAGAGAGAAATGGGATCAATGAGTGATGAGTTGGAAATTCAGGAACAAGGAGAGAAAATCTTTGTTTCGGTTAGGTTAAGGCCATTGAACGAGAAAGAAAGGGCAAGGAACAGTATAACTGATTGGGAATGCATTAACAATGACACCATTGCTTTCAAGAATAGCTCGCCCGAACGCTCCATGTTCCCAGCCGCCTATACATTTGGTGAGCAATTCCTTGTCTAACATAGTCAAAATCATTTGATGGTCTTCTAATCATAGAATTTTTGTCAATTTCATTGAGAATAGACAAAGTATTTGCCTGTGACTGCGTTACAAGTCAAGTGTACCAGGAAGGAGCCAAACACATTGCACTTTCAGTACTCGATGGTGTCAATTGTAAGTAGCCTTTGTTTCTATTTCCTGGTAGGTAATTATCTATAACTCTATAATCGAGTGAATGTTTTTACTGATGGTTTTTTTTTTTTTTTATTTCCTTCAGCAAGCATATTCGCATATGGGCAAACCAGCAGTGGAAAGACATATACAATGAGGGGAATCACTAAATATGCAGTAGAGGATATATATGACTACATAGAGAGGGTAATGATAGATATAGGATCACCTTTTCTTTCTTTTATGTAGAATGGACATGTCATTTTGTTTTGATCAATATCTTAGCATGAAGAAAAGGAGTTTTTGGTGAAATTCTCTGCCATGGAGATATATAATGAAGCCGTAAAAGACCTCCTTAGCTCTGGTAGTACCCCACTCAGACTCCTAGATGATCCAGAGGTTAAAATTTTGCCCTTCTTTATGCTTTCTTGTTGTCTTTTGCATAAGCAGAACCTTTTTATAACACTGTTTTCACTTCAACAGAGGGGAACGGTTGTGGAGAAACTTACGGAGGAGACTCCAAGAGACAGGGACCATATTCACGAGCTCCTGTCAATCTGTGAAGGTGAAGCGTTTCTCAAATACTCATGGCATTGTATCCGACTTCTTTTTCTTTTTCACTGGATGACATTTTATGCATTTTGGTATCACATTTGCGCAGCTCAAAGGCAGATAGGGGAGACCTCTTTGAATGAAACTAGCTCGAGATCACATCAGATTTTGCGGCTGGTTGGCATGCCTACTTGAGTTTTTTTTTTCAGAATTGTGCCTATTCTTACTGCTGTGTTCAATCATGCAACCTTGCAGACAATTGAAAGTTCTGCTCGTGAATATGCTGGAGCTGGAAATTCAAGCATTCTTGCAGCTTCTGTGGTATAATATAGTTAACTTCTTAAAAGACATTGCAGTTATCTTGTTTCATATGGGAGTTAATGAAATAATAGAGACAACATTATTCAAATTTTAATTAGGAAGTAGTAACATAAAAGTTGACAAGGAAATTTTGACTTGGTTTTCCGGTACAGAATTTTGTTGATTTGGCAGGAAGTGAGCGAGCCTCTCAGACCTTATCTGCTGGTGCAAGATTAAAAGAAGGCTGCCACATAAATCGGAGTTTGCTAACTCTTGGAACTGTGATTCGCAAATTAAGGTTTAACAATTTTTTTCATTTTTTTAAAACAAATATTGCAGGGCATATGTGCGTCCTTACCTCCTTATAAACATAACATTTATTGTTTTTGGCCAATTTACGGATACGATATTTTGCAGCAAGGGAAGAAATGGCCATGTACCTTATAGAGACTCTAAGCTGACACGCATACTCCAGAATTCCTTAGGAGGCAATGCCAGAACAGCCATCATTTGTACTATGAGTCCTGACCGCAGTCATGTCGAGCAATCAAGAAACACTCTCTTGTTTGCAAGCTGTGCTAAAAAGGTAACAACTAATGCACAGGTCAACTTGGTTATGTCAGATAAGGCATTGGTAAAGCAATTGCAAAGAGAATTGGCTAGACTGGAGAATGAAATGAGGAGCTTGGGATCAGCTTCAGTCAAACGTGATACTGCTAATTTGCTGAGAGAGAAAGAGCTACTCATTGGACAGGTGATTAGAGGAACTTCAGAAAGCAGTTTCTATACATTTAAGCATGACATCTTGCATCTAAGAAAAGTTAGAAGTATTTACTGTGGCTGAGGGTATAACCCTGCCTTTTTTGTAGTTATCACATATTTGCTATTTAGAGAACTTGTACCAATATGCTACTACTTCAATATTGAATTGTGAAAGCGAGTTTTAGAGTGTTTTAACTTCTCTTTTCTGAAAGAGAAGAAATTAGGAAAACAAGATAAAGCATAGTCGCAAGTTGGAACATGCCTCACTTAAACAATTTACGCATGTTAACCTTGTTTTTTTCTCTTTTGGAAATCTACAGATGGCCAAAGAGATAGAAGAATTGACTCGTCAACGTGATCTTGCCCAATCTAGAGTTGAGAATTTGCTACTGTCAGTTAGAGAAGTTCAAATGTTAAGCCAAGGGGAATATTCGTTATCACATTCATCAGAAGTGGCCAAGGTTCCCTCTACGGTTGGTTGCAACAAACGTAGGGATACTGTTGCACGCAGCGTTCCTAATGCCCACAACCAATATCCAGGGCTTCCCGAAAAATCTGAAGAGGATTTTCTGCTCGATGGCATCACTCCGAAGTTTATTGGGCCTGATCCATGCAAAGGTTGGGAGGAGATTGCTCAAAAAATGGATGAAGAATTTGAAGATAACTGCAAGGAAGTTCGATGCATTGAAGATTCAAGCATTAAGATGAATGAAAATGCAGAAGTTTCCTCTTTGAGTCCTGACAACAATGAAGGAAAATTAGCCATGGAGGAGGCCATTGTCAAGAAAATGGAAACTGATGAGTTATCTGTTCATCCTGAGGAACAAGAAGGAAAACCGGCCAGGACAGAAGCCGTTATCAAGGAAGTAGAAGCTGATAATTTATCAACTGCTCCTGAGGAAGAGGATCGGAAAGTAGTCTTGACAGAGGTCCTTCTCAAGAAAACAAGAGCTGGTGAGTTCCTGACTGATCATGAGGATATTGAAGGAAAATTAACCGTGACAGACTCAAGTATTGATAAGCAGGAAGGTGATGGCAGCTCCACTGATCCTGAGGAAAATCAAGGAAAACTAGACCTGACTATAACCGTGGACGAAAATGTAGTATCATCCCCACGAAAGGAAGATTTGCAATCAAGTCATGTCTACACAGATGAAACTTACAAGGCTTTGAAACAAAAAATTGAGGAACTGCAAAGGACTGTCAAATTTCTTGTCAGTATTCATCATCTAGAGCAGTCGCCTTGTTTTTCAGATGCATCTAGCTCTGGTAGCACAAGCATGACCAGAAGCAAAAGCTGCAGGGCGGTTGTCACAACTGTGCCATCTTCACCTTCCTTTGAGAAAGCAGAACGGAAAGAAAGCACACCCCCTTCCACTGGAGTTGAAAAAGAATTCCTTGAAAGACCAAGAAGCCTTTACCAAAAGCTTTCTGGACTGAAATATGACAACAGAAATGGAAATATGTCCAGAAGAAATTCTCAAACTTCTCTTAGTAGTATTTCTGGGGAAGCACAAAGTCTGAAAGACTTAGATGTGGAAGACACTTTTAATGCAATTGATATTCTTCCACGACCATGGAAGTCATTTTCCAATGATTCTGTGAAAAAAACTTCCTCCTCCACTGATTTTGCTGCATCTGGCAGTGAAAAGAAACTGCAGTCAGAAGAGCAAATTGATAACAATTCGGTGAGAAGATGAATTCCTCCTTCCGCTCTTCATTTTTCTTATTTCTCATGATATGAATCAATCTTTTATATTAGATGTTATAGTTTCATTTCTTACATCATAGTAACTTCTTTTGATGTGACTTAATTCCTCATCAGTTATGTTCTTTAAAAATGAATTCCTCATAAGTTATGTTCTTTAAAAATGAATAAATGGTCTAGAAGTAAAAGATTTGATAACTATCTTCCTTCTTGGTAGATAAGGTTATTCCCAAGATTGCTGTCCTCTTCACCAGAGTGTCCAAAGAGAGTGGAAAAAGATTGTTAGTAGCCATAGCACAAATATTCTTGTTCATGTCATTGTACTGAAGACTTTATTCTGCATGCACCCATACAAATTAGGTACTGCAGCCTACTTGGTTCTCATGTCAGTCCTAGGTCAGTTCATTTTAAGGTAGCACTGTGTCATGACATTTAGTAAAGTTAAGTGTTCTCTCTTTTTAATTTCCTTAATGCAACTCTAAGAACAGCTGCTGTATGATCCAATGGTGATACTTCCTGACAACCCCCAAAAGAGAGACCTAGAATGATTGATTTTTGGCATATTTATACTAACTTATCGCTGATGATAACTGGCTACTAACATATTTCCTTTTCCATGGAATGTTACCGAGGTTAGGCACAGGAAACCACAGATACTACTGATAATTCCAGGGAAATAATAAAGGATTCCATGCAACTGCACTCTGGTTGGCCCTCAGAATTTGAGAAGCAGCAGAGAAAGATAATTGAACTTTGGGATGCATGCAACGCACCATTAATCCACAGAACCTATTTCATCTTGCTTTTCAAAGGCGATCCTTCCGATTCAGTGTATATGGAGGTAGAGCTCAGAAGATTGTCTTTTCTAAAAAACTCAATGTCATACGCAGCCAATGTTCGCAAAGATAGTCCCATTGACACAACAGCTTCTAGGTAAAGATTTCCTCTCAATAGCTGAACAGTATACATGCACATTCACGCATAGACATATGCACTAACTTGGAATGAATAAACCTTTGGACCCGATTGAGTACAAACGAATAACCTTTATCAGATTCCTCTTCAATGCCATCCAAATGTCTTTAGTGGTGATATCTTTTTGTGGTGGCAGTGTGAAGGATTTGATTCGTGAGAGGGGAATGCTGAGCAAGCAAATACCGAAGAAGTTCTCAAGAAAGGAGAGAGCGAAACTTTACGAGAAGTGGGGTATTGGGTTGAATACAAAGCAGAGGAGCTTGCAGCTGGCACGCCGTATATGGACAGACACGAAAGACATGGTCCATGTCAAGGAGAGTGCTGATCTGGTGGCAAAGTTGCTCCGTTTTGTCGAACAAAGTCAAGCCCCCAAGGAGGTAGTCGGACTCAGCATTTTGCCGCCCCGATCCTTAACCCGAAGATCATACAGCTGGAAGCACAGCATTCCTCCCCTCTCATAAAAGTTGTCGAGGATAGAGAATTATCTAGGTTGCTATATTCGCAGGGTTGAAATCTTCTCATTTCTAGCTCCTCAATGTAAATCGGAAGGAGTATAAAGTTAACCAGAATTTACTCGCAGATTCAATTTGACAATATCTTGCTCATTGCATTTGATGTGCCAAGGGAATAATAATAGAAGGAAGGTATTTTTTCAAATACGTCCAAAGACAGGACTTAGTCAGAGGCATTTATATGGCTCACCAAACCAAAAACTCATGACTGATGAGCTAATGAAAATTTTAATAAGAAAATGAAGATAGCAGAAAATTGGCTTAACTCTTCGGGTTGAGCTTCTTCTCACATGATTCAAATGCATGCTCTGTTTTCGGCAAATATGACACTAAAAATAGCTATGGAAAAAAGATAAAGTCGGCATTCATTTCTGAGCTTTCAGCCTTCTTATGTTTTATGTCATCTATGATTTGTAGACAGATCCTTCGGTGATTTTCCAGCCAGACTTGGAACTAGACATCTCATATCTTGTTGTGTAGGATTGTACATTAGAGGCATTGTTCTCTGGATGATGAACATCAGTCAAGTGGGTGGACTCTTCAAGAGTTGCTTCCACTACCGCACGCTGCCCATCTAGTGAAAGAGTAACACTGTCAATTGCCAGGTTCAGTAGACTACATTCATATATCCAACCAAGCTGGGCAATTTCAGCTGCACGATCAGTCCATGTCTTCAACATCTGACCATCCAAAACCTGGTACTTTTCTGAGTGTTAGGAAAAGCTTAAAGACACTTCCTTAATGCAGCAATTAACAGTTTTCAAAAGCTATATACCTACTATGTTTAGTTGAATCACATTAAAAGACTCTCATAAAAACCATATATAACCAGTTATCACGAGATGAAGAGAGTCCAGTTTGCATGGCAGGCTTCAAGAATATACTTGCAGAAATTCAAAAAAGAAAACATGAAAATTAGAGAATCTTACCTCTGGCAATTTATCAAGACAGTGATCAGGTCCAAATGCCTGAGATTTAATGTTCTGCCACTTGCGTACAATGCCTTCTGCAATTCTTGCATCCATTCTAGGTAATTCTAGCAACGAATTTTCATCTACGGACCCTGCAAAGTTAAGGCAGCTGTGAGCATCACTAATCATGGAGGAACAGGACGACTTCAAAGGATTTGATTAATCTTACTTGTTGAGAGAGAAAAACAATTCTCTGTCCCCTACAAATTTTAACATTATTAAAAAAAAAAAAGATGCAATAATAGCAATACAACTATCACAGCTTAAATTTAAGGATCAATCATTAACAGCAGCCAAGTTCTAAGATATTCTACAAAATACTTCACCTTATGCGGAAATAATGCTACATTAGGTTGACTATTCACTTATCTACCACATGTAATATTAAAGTCATACCTACATTAATGACATTAGATGCCTTAGCTGGGCTGATTTCTTTGCCGATAACAGATCTACCAGGTAAAAACTTCAAGCCAGCCAACGTCATCAGTCCAATTATCACACCAGCAGACATGATCTTGACACTAGCATCTTTAATTTTGTCAGTCATTGTTTCTTCTTCATACACTTCTTCCAAACTACTTATCCCAGGAATCTCTTCTACGATGGCAGCATCCTCTTGATCAGGTTTCCCCAGTGTCCCTTCATTTTCGGTGGCAGGGAAAAAGCTGTTCATCTCACCATCTAATTGATGTCTCACACTCTCTTCCGAGCGACGAAGAGGAAACACCTTCTGCAATGCCTGAATTGCACTAGCCTTTACATGATCAAGAACTGCAGTAGCCTCTGCACCTATCCTCACTATAGCTGCTGCTGCAGCTAAGGGTGAACCGCCCACTCCCTCAAGCCTTTCTAAATATCTCAAGACAGTAGGCTCATCATAATAATCTCCAAGCTTGAATTGTTTATCTTTGGTGTCTCTAAATCTTGGAAAAACCACCTCCATTAGCCACGCCTCCAATAGTTTGCAAAGCCCAGGAAGATCTCTGTCATCATCATCCTTTGAGTTTTCCAAGACAAAACCTACAATAGATGGATTTCTATAAGGGGAGCTATCACTGTCTAAGCCCAACCATGAGCGACACTCATCAAGCTCCCCCACAAGCAATGAACAGAGACCCCTTTCCAAAGCAAAGTCTATCTCATGGTTTTCCACAGGAGTATAGAGAGAGACAGAGTTCCCTAGAGTTGTTACCCTAGTCTGCTGAAGCTGCTGGAAGAGGTTATCAGCATCTCTGATGAGATGAGGTTTCTTGCTCAGAAATGCTTGAGCAACAAGTGCAAGTGCTACTCCATAAACTTCAAAACTTTCTGCAGGAATATTGCTTGGTGTGGCAGCAAATAGATCAACCTGTTCATGGAAAAGGATTTAAAAATAAAGAGAAACTAAGAAACTGATCAGAAGCCTAAAAGGCAAAATATGTCAGATGACAAACATAATGTACTATCGTACCTGCTCAGCTGCTATCATGCATAAGAAGGCCTCGTTCATAAAATCTTCACGGGTAAAACCTCCCGCAATTGCAGCAGCTCCTCCTCCACCAACAGCCCATAATATGTTGCGTACACCATGAAGACCCTCCTCTCTCTTTGTCCGGTACTCATCATCAAGGGGTAAAGATAGAAGTTCCAGAACACGACGTGGGGTAATTTCTTCTAATGTCTCATCAATCTGAGACTGCAAATCTGGTGCAAGACTGCTGGCTCCTTCCTCCTGCATCTCAGACAAAAGGATTTATCAAGTATCTTGTAACGTACAAGTGTCAAAACCAAAAAAAAAAAGGCTGATCAGTGCATAACAAATCCAATTTCATTAACCTGTCTGCATGTAAGTCCACCACAAGCTTATGTCACAATGCTTAAGTTATATTAGTACAATACTAATAAAAATTCTATACATTTGTTTCTTTATTTGTTGTTAAGCAGATTTTAGACTCACTATAGCAATAACAAATCCACCACTTTACAATTGAATCTAGTCAACTACATAGTAATCAAACACAATTAATCAATATTTTTACAAATTGAAGTAGAAAGGTGTGTTCCAGTACCTGCAACAGCTTCAAAGCCCTCTCAAGCACCTCACAGCCACTAATAAAATCCGGCGGATTCAATGCCATAGCATCCCTTGACAAGTCCACGTAAGCAAGGGCCATTGCCAGAACGACATCCTGCTTAAATGCCTTCGGCAGCCTCTCTCTCAGTAAACTCTCCCCAATTCGAAGCACCACTTCAGTTTCCCCTGCTTCTTGCAAAACGCACAATGCTCCAGGAATCTACATTTCCAGCATTTTCTCAATAACCAAACAGAAATTTTAAAAGAGAAAAAAAAATTGGAATTACCTTGTCCCAGGGAACTTGAGTGATGATAGTGTCACGCTCATCATCGACAAGGCCTTGATTGTAATTTCGTCTAGAGCCAGGGTTAGCTAGGGTTTCACAGGCGGCTTGAAGAATCTGTCTTCGGCTAATTAAGGTGTCTTGACTGAACCCATGTTGAGGCGGTTTGGCAACCCTTGCTTCATAGGCTCTTTTGATTCCATCACCTAGAAAATGAGTCTCAGCTCCTAACACCTGCTTTTGAAAATGACAATCTTTTGATTAACACTAATTCCCTGAAAATTAACAAAAGTTAAAACGAACTGAGAGTCAACTGTCGGACTGACCTTGTAGAAATCGAGGGGGATGGACACGTGGCGTTCGGGAGGAGACGGGGAGAGAGGGGGAGGGAAAGGGGGAGAGAGAGTGATGGTTGAGGAGGAGAAAGAGTTGTCGGTGGTGGTTGGGAGGAATTGGAAGTCGGCGAGGAGGCGGTCAGCCCATTTACTGGCGGCGCAGACGGTGGCGGTTGAAGGGTGGTGGAGTTTGGATGGTTTTCGGGGGTGAGGCAATGGAGTTAAAGTGGGAGTGAACAAGCCGATGCCAATGTGTCTCAAAGATTCCATTTTTGGAATCTGTGAGATTAAAAAAAAAAAAGCTTTAAATTTAAAGGGCTTAAACCCTTTTTCACTCTCAGTTGAGAATTGCAGAGTTTATAGGAAAGTGCTGGACTTTCTTCACTTAACCAAAAAAATTTCAGTTTCCAAATTGAGCTGTGAACATCCTGTTTTTAGTCACCGATCGATTGTTTATTTAGTGATAGATTTCTCTTATAGTAGCATCATCAACAATCCGTTGTAGTCTAGTTGGTTAGGATATTCGGCTCTCACCCGAAAGACCCGGGTTCGAGTCCCGGCAACGGAAACTTTCTTTTTCCAAGAAGAATCCACGCTGCTTTTTCAACTTTTCATTGCATGATGATTTTAAATTTACTTGTTAGTATTTCTCATTTGTAAATTAATGATAACGCAGGAGCAGGAGCCATGGCAAGAAGACTTTACCTATAAACGCTGCCTGAATGCAATGATTACAGCTACTATTAATTAACCTCCTAAAATAATTACAACTTAGGAGGAGTTGAAAAATCATTTCCTCGTGCCTTTTTCTCTTTTCTCTTGTCAAACAATGATAGCTAACATGAGAACCCACTTGCTCCTAGATCACCTCCTCAAACTTTACAGGAATGCTGGAAATGCTATCACCATTGTAGATAAAGTTGGCTGTTGGTCCTGGAATTGATATCTTGAGCCCTGCAGCTATGTTTGATCATCAGTCTCAACAGATTTAGAACCCAGTAAAAAGAATGCATATCTATCCAACATTGCCTGGTTGTAACCAGCTTGTTCTAAGCTTGTTTCAGCCTAATCCTTTTTCTTTATTGTACTGGTCCTGTGATTGTGCGAGAGAGATGTGAATAACATCATTATTTTCACATAAAAACTGGTGCTTTGGGTAGTAACTAAGCATCATATAGATCAAGTGAATTGATGAATATTATTATGTGATCATGCACATTGAATACTTGAGAGCTGATACCACAGAGCCAAAAGTCAGTTAAAATTTCGTGGAATACATAATTGTCTTTGGTGGCTTATAAATTTCTAATTTCTATGGATATGATACAAAAATCAAAGTTCTTAAAACTGGGCCTGGGGACAAGCAAATAAGTGAGCCAGCTTTACGATAAAATATATGGGCCATCTTCGCAACGGAAAGCCGTCAGAAAGAGCATATGCAGTGGTCAGGGAAAAAAAATAAAACATAAATAGCCCTCTGACCATCCGTAACCCAGATAACAAAGGAATTCATAATCTGCCAATAATGGACTCTGCAAATTTTTTTTTTTTTGGGCTCATTGTCCCTTATATTTTTCGTTTTTTTTATTATAGAACAACAAATTCACGAGCAATGGAAATGGAATGCCCACAGTACTAATTTACTATTTATTTATTGAGTGGCAATGACAAATGGGATGTGCGAAACATTGGTTGCATGTTTTCTGCATGAAAAAAAAAAAAAAAATGGAAATTTTCAGGTTAAGACCCAAGTGCCGGAATATAAGGAAAAGGAAATGATAATAAAATCATGTTTCTAATTTTTCCCCTTTTGTTTTGGACATCAATCTTTCTTTAAACAAAAAATGATTGTTTTTAATCTTTACTAAAACAACCTCTTTTGTCTTTCTAATGGGACAATAGGAAGCAAAACTTTTAAATATGTCACACATGTTTTAGGGCAAAACTAGATATAGTAAATCCTTCACTTCACCCGATTCCATTAACTTGAACCTTTTACTTTTACCATCCTCTTTTATGGCAACCCTGGATCAAGACTCCATAACCATTGGACTTTTTCCTGTTTCCCAATTAATAAATTTAGTTCATGGTATATGGTATTAAAATAAGAGCAGCAACATGTTCCATGCAATAAGTTAGCAACACGACACCCAGGTGACCTTATCACAAGACTTTGAGTTAATGATTCTCCCAGACATCAACCAGTGTTTTTTTAAAAGCTCGAAAGGGTTGTGCAATCAATCAATGTTCCTTCCTTCTTCCCTAGGGAATATAGAAATAGAACTGAACCAGTGTCCAAAACTCAAAAGCCAAAGCCACAGTCTCAGGGAAAAAACAAAAGTAAAAAAGAAATTTATAACTATTTTAAAACCCCAAAAAGAAAAAACACTTTCCAACAAATATGGCGTCGTTTCTGTCGAGCTCCAATCTTTCCAGTCAAGCTCTATGGTAACACACGCTCCCTCTGTACCTCCACCATCCCTGCATTTCTAAAAGCTCAAATTTTTTCCATTTCTCCCACTCTCATACCAATCTTCCGTTTCTTCTTCATGGAAATAACGGTTATTTTTCCTCTCTTCCTTACCCTCACCTTAAACGTTGTCGTTCTTTGTTCCTATGCCCAACGCAGCGCCGTTGCTTCGGCTGAGATCCGAGCGCTGGCGTCATTCAAACGGAACATTTTTTACGATCCACTTGGCGTTCTTGACGGCTGGGATGAGTCCACGCCGTCAGCTCCATGCGACTGGCATGGCATTGTCTGTTACAACAACCGAGTCCGCGAGCTTCGCTTGCCTCGGCTCCAACTCGGTGGTCGACTCACTGATCAGTTATCCAACTTACGCGAGCTCCGCAAATTAAGCCTCCATTCTAACAACTTTAACGGCTCTATCCCAGACGCGCTCTCTCAATGCGCCCTCTTACGCGCCGTTTACTTTCAGTACAACTCACTCTCCGGAAACCTCCCGCCTTCCATTTTTAACCTCACCAACTTACTAGTCCTCAATGTAGCTCATAATTATCTGACCGGTAAAGTAGCCGCCGATATCCCGTCTTCTCTCCGGTACCTGGATTTATCTTCGAACGATTTCTCTGGGGAAATACCGTCAAATTTCTCGGCACAGTCTCAGCTCCAACTTATCAACTTCTCATACAACAGGTTTTCCGGTGGAGTTCCGGCCAGTGTAGGGAAACTCCAAGAACTAGAGTACCTTTGGCTTGACTCGAACCAGTTGTACGGAACGCTACCGTCGGCTATATCCAACTGTTCTTCGCTGGTACATTTAAGCGCAGAAGACAATAAGCTTAAAGGACTGCTTCCGGGAAGTATCGGTGCGGTTCCGAATCTTCAAGTGCTTGCTTTATCGCATAACGGGCTTTCCGGTGTGGTTCCTAAAAGCATTTTTTGTAAGTCATCGGGGAATGATACGGCGTCGTTGAGGATCGTGCAGTTAGGATTTAATGAGTTCACGGAAGTTGTTAAGCCGCAAAATAACGCCAGTTGCGTTTCCGTTTTGGAGGTTTTGGACCTTCACGAAAATCACATACGCGGCATTTTTCCTTCTTGGTTGACCAGTTTGACCACGTTGAGAATATTAGATATTTCTGGAAACTTCTTTACAGGTTTATTACCAGTTGAAATTGGCAACCTTATTAACTTAGAAGAGCTTAGAGTGGCGAACAATTCTCTAACCGGTTCGGTTCCGGGCCAGCTCCGACAATGTGGTTCGTTAAAGGTCGTTGATTTTGAAGGGAACCGGTTATCCGGTAAGATGCCAGTTGTTTTAACTCAAATGAGGAGCTTGAAAAGTATATCTTTTGGGAGAAATCTATTTTCTGGGTCAATTCCGTTCGGGTTTGGGAATATTTCAGGGCTTGAAACGTTGAATCTGAGTGGAAATAATTTGACTGGAAGTGTACCGGAAGATATAATGCGGTTGAGTAATTTAACTACTTTAAACCTCAGTCATAACAAGTTTTCTGGGGGAGTTCCTAATGGTTTAGGGGATTTATTGAGTTTGGTGGTTTTAAATTTAAGTGCATGTGGGTTTTCAGGGAGGATTCCTGGGAGTATTGGGAGTTTGATGAAATTAACATCTCTTGATTTGAGTAAGCAGCAGATTTCTGGTGAGTTGCCTATTGAGCTTTTTGGGTTGCCAAGTTTGCAGGTTGTTGCTTTAGAAGAAAACAGGTTATCTGGTGATGTTCCTGAAGGTTTTAGCAGCTTGGTTGGTTTGCAGTACTTGAATCTTAGTTCTAACCAATTTACTGGTCGGATTCCGGGCACCTATGGTTTTTTGCAGTCATTAGTTGTGCTTTCACTGTCCTACAATCGAGTATCGGGTATGATTCCAGTAGAGCTTGGTAATTGTTCTGATCTTGAAGTGCTTCAGCTTCGTTCGAATCGTTTGAGGGGCAATATACCAGGTGATATCTCTCGACTATCTCATTTGAAAGAGCTTGATATGGGTTTGAATAATTTAGATGGTGAAATCCCAGAGGAAATGTCCAAATGTTCCTCTATGGCTACTTTGTTATTGGACGGAAATCACCTCTCGGGTAACATACCAGATTCGTTGTCAAAACTATCAAATCTAGCAACTTTGAATCTTTCCTCAAATAGATTGACTGGAGCCATTCCATCAAGCTTTTCAACCATGTCTAGCTTGAAGTACTTGAATTTGTCAAGAAACAATCTTGAAGGTGAGATTCCAAATGCACTGGGTTCTCGGTTCGATGATCCTTCTGTATTTTCAATGAATAGAGAACTATGCGGTAGGCCATTAAATAGAGAATGTACAAATGTAAGAAATAGAAAACGGAGGAAGCTGATTCTATTAATTGCTATAGCTGCTGGTGGAGCTTGCCTTCTTGCAGTTTGTTGTTGTGTATATGTTTACAGCCTTTTACGCTGGCGCAAGAAGATTAGACAATGGGCAACTGGGGAGAAGAAGAGGAGTCCGGCTCGTGCAAGTTCGGGAGCAGACAGGGGTCGTGGAAGTGGGGAAAATGGAGGACCAAAATTGGTCATGTTCAATAACAAGATAACGCTAGCGGAGACACTGGAAGCGACAAGGCAATTTGACGAGGAAAATGTCTTGAGCAGGGGAAGATATGGACTTGTGTTCAAGGCGACGTATCAAGATGGAATGGTTTTATCAATCCGTCGCCTTGTTGATGGATCTATTAATGATGTTACCTTCAGAAAGGAAGCTGAATTGCTAGGCAAGGTAAAGCATCGAAACATAACAGTCCTACGGGGCTACTATGCTGGGCCACCTGACGTAAGGCTTCTTGTTTATGACTACATGCCTAACGGAAACCTAGCCACCCTCCTCCAAGAAGCATCTCACCAAGATGGGCATATGCTCAATTGGCCAATGCGTCATCTCATTGCTCTTGGCATTGCTCGAGGCCTAGCTTTTTTGCACTCATTATCAATAGTTCATGGTGATATCAAACCACAAAATGTGCTCTTCGATGCTGATTTTGAAGCTCATTTATCCGAATTCGGATTAGAGCGCCTGACAATAGCAACCCCAGCAGAAGCTTCCTCGTCTTCAACCCCAGTTGGTTCTCTAGGCTATGTGGCACCAGAAGCTGCTTTAACAGGTCAACCAGCTAAAGAAGCGGATGTATACAGTTTCGGGATTGTACTACTAGAAATTCTTACAGGAAGAAAACCAGTGATGTTTACTCAAGACGAAGATATTGTGAAATGGGTGAAAAAGCAATTACAAAAAGGGCAAATTTCAGAGTTGCTGGAGCCAGGGTTGCTTGAGTTAGACCCCGAATCATCAGAGTGGGAAGAATTCTTGTTAGGGGTCAAAGTGGGACTCCTTTGCACAGCACCTGATCCACTTGATAGGCCATCAATGACGGACATTGTTTTCATGCTGGAAGGATGTAGAGTTGCACCAGATATTCCATCTTCAGCTGATCCAACCTCTTTACCTTCCCCCACTTGAGATTTTTTTCTTCTTTTTCTTTTTTAAATTTATTTCGCACCAGAATCACTTCCGCAAAAGAAGTCATTGTTGATCATTACCTTGTTTTTAATTGCAAAATTTCTCATTCATTATCATTTCTTATTAAATTTTAGTAGTAATATTATCTTTGACCCGACGGCGCTGTTTGAGGAGGTTCCTTCCTCATTGCTGGTCCTTGGACTAACCTACAATATCAGTGTCTCGGACCCAACAGGGATTCCCGCCAGATGTATAACGTCTAACCAGGAAAAACCACGTGGCAAAAATCAAGGGAGGGGGAGAAGTAGCCGTTGAGTTAGTCATTGGGAAAAAGCGAAGTTGGCGTCAGAATCCTGGAAATTGTCGGAATTTGGCGTGTTTCAGACGAATAGAAAGGAGGAGCTCATTAGAATTAGATTCCTTAGAAGCTTTGGCTTTGGGAATTGGCAGCCTCGTTGGATTTTCATGGAGTGTTGACCCCCACGTGGGCCCTTTTGATGGTGCACTTGTTCTTGTGATTCTTCTTGTGAAGGAAATAAATACTACAATGAATCGATGGTGGCACGAAAGTTGTATGGTTTCGTGTTTCAGGGTCCCACGGATCAGCCTAAATTTTAAAACTCTGCATTAAATACAGATATAAATGGAGTGTGTTCAGTACAGACTACAGCATCCCACAGTGTACGTATTTGACAGTGTGTTGATGCGTCTTGTGACTTCAGAACTCCAAAACCCCACATTCAATCCGGTCATGACATCCAACTGTGCCAAACAGTATTGCTGCTTCCAGGTGTCACTGTCAATTCGTCAATTTTAACTTCAGTTAGAATGGATTTTAACTAGGATTTTTTCCTTCTCTCGAAATGTAGAAATCAGAAAGTCTAGCAGAATTCAAATTTAACCGAGGGAAAGCCAAAGTAAAACTATGGGTAGTGGTAAATACAGGACCCACCCCCCCCCCCCCCGGCCAAAAAAAAAAAAGAACTCAATAATATAACTTGTCATAGCTAGGATGCAGGGAGGGCTGCTACACTGGCTATAGTCCAGCTAAGTGTCTGCACTCTGCAGCCTGAGACATAATTTTCTTACTTCAGCTTATTTTACTTGTTATTTTCTTTATCTTTCATTGTCAAAAGGAAGCTGAAGTAATGAAGATTCAAGCTGTTGGTTCCACTCGGATTTTTTCACATCTTAGCACTTTTGTCTGATATGTGAGTAGTATGGGAAGTCTTTTACATCCCCTTGATCAGTTCAATCTCCATAAGCCACAACCAGTAACAAGATTCAAGATACTATCTAACAGCCCATAGGTATATATAAATATGATAAAAGTAACAAGTAAAGAATGTTTTAATAGAATCTTCTGACCAAAGAAACCATGGGATGATGTATCAAATAACAAATTTGTAATGAAATTACAACATACTTTCTTCTATGCTGATTCCAAACCTTCAGGAAAGGGTTCACTATCAGGGTGAGGTGAGAGAAATCTCCTACAAGCATACAACGTAGCAGAATGGAATCCATCTGGATTTTCAAGGAACACAAAATGTCCAGCCTGCAGATGAGAGAAAAGAAAGTTAAGGAGTCTGAGAAAAAGGTTAGCATTTGGGCTCTAAAATAGTCCATTCAAGGTTCCAAAATAAAGCTTTCATGGAAAAATAAAATGTCTTCGGCAGGTGATGCAGCCCAAGCTATTTATTGTATATTGCGGAAGTAAACAGACCTGAGGAACCCTGATAATTTCACAAGGGACCTTCATTTGCTTGCGAGCTTCTTGGGCTCCTTGGTAGTTCATCCAATCTTGAACCCCATATATAAAAGTAGTTGGCACTTTCCACTCAGATGCACTATTCACAGAAAAAAAAAAAAAGTAATTCAATATTGTCTTCCAAAAACCTCAAATCTTCCCTTGTTAATAGATTGAACCACTGATCTAGACTATAGCTAGTGGTTCATATAACTCTTATATTGGGCAGCTTGAAATTTTGAAAGTGTGCTCTAGTTTCAATTAGATGCTACGCAAGTGCTCAAAGATTTGAAGTCTTTTTAATTCAAGTTCTCTGCTTGCAATGAGCCATTAAATAGCATTATATAAAATGGTATGGTTTGTGTGACCCTTCACAACGGAGTGAAGCTTTATGATCATTACATTTTTTTTCTCATAGGAAAAGAACTAAATCCATAGGCATAAATTATCGGCCTTTAACGAAACCTGCTTTTTTATTGTGCATTGATGCACAGATTTCCCAAGCGCCATGAGAGAGAAATGAAATTTGCATTCTAGAGAATGTTTTCAAATCAATGTTACATAGAATCTTGACCAGTATAAAAATAGGCAGATATTAAGCCAAGCAATGAACCCAATTGCAAATAAGTAAACACCTTTACTGAACCAATAAATGAGTTTAATCAAGCAGAGTAATCAAACCTGTTTAAAAGGGGCATCCGAGCAAATGCTCCAAATGCAAATATATATTTTAAGCACAGCTCTCCACTTGCTTTGGCAGCTAGTGTATGGTACACATAATCTTCAACCATGATGAACAGGGAAGAAGTAGCCATTAGATATCTTTTATTTACTTATACATGAGTTATACACAAATTGTAAAAATCTTACCATACCTGTTAGAAGTCTAGACTCCTCATCTTTGAATACACCCCCAGCTGAATATCTAGGACTAAACCTAGCAGCTGTATACTTACGTACAAGATCTGGACCCCAAGGACCTAAACCTCTGCATACAGAATCATCCAAAAAATGCACAAAAGCAATAAATGAAACTATTTGATGCAAAATGCAATCCAAGACAAGAGAATGAATGAAAATAAATATAAGATAAAATAAAACAAATTGGAATAAAAGGACCTTGACAGCAACATATAAGAACAAAGGAAACATACAAAATTATTCCAACAACAGTTTAAGGTAGAATTAACCAACATAAGACATGTATATCGGAGAAATAACCTATATAAGAACTTATGAAGAGATAATTGATTAGTTCTCAATAGCAGTCGGTTACCAAGAATCAACTTTGAACCCTTATTTTTTTCCCTAATCATGAACAAACTTACTAGATGCATTTAGTGCATAGTGCAAACTGATATTGTTTTGGCAGACCAGTCCAGAGCAATGTTCAATAGCTAAGCTTGATTTGTGGTTACAGGCTAAGAAAATAGGATAAGATAATTACAAACCTTACAATCTTCTGAGGTGTAAAATTAGACTCCCACAAATGATTCAAAATTGCCCCTTTCCATGTTGCTCTGAAGCGGGTTAGCCACTCAGATTTGTCATCTGATTCTGATGAAAATCCAGCAGGTCCCACTAAAATTAAGTGTTGAACATGTTCAGGATGCTACAGAATAAAGCATAAGGGACATTAGAATAAAAAATGTGGTATAAGACTACTTGTTGCATTCAAACATTTAACATTTAAAAGCAATCACCTTGAGAGCATATTTAGCTGCAACATATCCTCCAAAAGAATGACCAAGTAATATAAAGTTACTAAGATTTTTTGCTTTACGCCATTCCTCAAAAGAATCCACAAACCATGCTTCAGTTTCTGCATCATAATAAAGACATAAGTGAATTACATATTCAGTTGCTTAAGTAACTTCTGATATATGAAGAAGGCTGGAGAAACCATTAGCCTTCGGCTCACTAACCTTCAGTACTTTTGCATGTAAAGTCAGGTCTACTTGATCCACCCCAACTGGAGAAAAAGGTGAAGGAAAACTAAGAAAATATAATGGAATGTAGATATCAAGTTCAAAATACAAAAGAGATTACTACAGGCTTCAGCAATTAAAGTAACGGAGAATAAGCAAGAGATGCTTCTTAAACAACACATGATAAAGATTTCTTTTCGTGTGGCATGGGGTAAAATTAAACCGAAAATGAACCCGACAACAGAACAGTAAAGTTATCACTAGTAAAATTCAGCTTGGTTATGCCAAAAGCATAATCTTTAAAAGAAAAGGAGCTTACCCAAGCTGATCAATAGCAATGACCTTGAAACGATTGGCAAGGAAATCAAAATTCTTGAAAAAGAAACCTTGAGAAGCACCATAGCCATGTACCATAACAAGAGTGGGAGAACCCTCTTTGCTATCAAAGGTAATTGTATTTATGAACCTCGGTTCGTTACTCGAAGAACGAAACCACCTAACTGTAGAACCAGGCGCACCTGAACCTATATTCACTTGTTCTTGCACATATGGAGTCCTGAAATTTCAATAATTAATTCATAATTATCGAATTCCTATCCAAATTTTCACCAAAATTAAAACCCTAAATTGATATCCTTAAACCCAATTATTGTCCAAATTAAAAACCAAAAAAATTGAAAACATGAGAATTCAGGTAACGTGCAATCAAAGTTTCCAGCTTTTTCAATCCAAAAAATTTGATAAGCAAAAGAAATTGAAAGTATACTCACTTGACGAGAGACAGAAGGCGTTTCTCGGAGGCAATGATGTGATCAGTGGAAGAAGGAATCCACCGGAGAACAGACGGCCATAATGATCTGGATTTCGCTATAACCGACGGAGACGATCGAAGCTCAGCTTTATTAATTTCTTCGGCCATTTTTTTCAAAATTAAACTTGACCAACGATAGGGAGTCTGGTTCATACGATATTTGTTTCTGCTTAACAATACAAAAACCCACGCATTTAGCTTTGAAGAGGAAATAGAATTATTCAGAAAATAGTGGTGCTGAATTTTCATTTTCTGTAATTTATATAAAAAATTAATAATAACCGCCTTGAAGAATATGTTGACTAGAACGCGGATTCAGCACGCCACAATCACAGGAGAGTAAGGACACGTGGACTGCGGATTTAGGACATGTTTGAGATCTAGATTTGCTCAGACCATTGGATTCGGTGTTCGGAATAATAGTCAAGGATATCTCAAATGGTAACAAAAAAATACACTTATGTTAACGATGACGTAGGAGAATTCGTAATCGTAATTTGACTTTATATTAAACTTTTTGACTGGCTTCCTTTTAAAGGAAAATATTTGGGTTGGATTAAATAAACTCTGATGAGGCCTATGGGCAAGCAACTGTTTTGAAGAAGATGTTGATTACATATTTTTAGGAAGGAACCCACTCACCACTCTGAAAGGACCATTATTGAGACGAAGAAACCTCTAAAAGAATCCTCTGTCACCGATTGAGCACAAGTTTTTTTCTTTCTTTTTTTTTTTTTTGGCAAAACTGGCAAAAACATAAGGGGAATTGGGGAAGAAAATTTTACAACAGCTGGCATCGAACCTTATGAGAAAAACCATTTGAATTTAAGCCCAATTCCTAAGTTCCCGATTGAGTATCAGTTACTAAATCTGAAAACAATGGCTTTATCAGTTGGTAATTGGTACTCTTGGTTCTGATTCTTTGTTGTTATTGGCACTATCTTTTCGCTAAAGAAATTCTTAGGAGTAATATTTTCCAAAGCAAAAGGAATTGGCAAAAAGTGCCGACCCCATCTAATTGAATTTTATAGGGTATTTTAAGCTCGTAGCCCTTCAGTGGCATAAGGTTTATCACATACATCATCCTTCATGGTTAATCGATGCATTGAGCATAGCAAAAAGGCGTCGAGACTCGAGGCGTATAAATCATACAAGAAAATCCCTCTGAAGCCAACTGCAAAGACTCAAGGAGGGTTAGCTGACGCGTATGGAGAAGTGAAGCTAGCTGTGATTGCGTGAAGAGCTTCATATCAAATAAGTGGAGGATTTATGAAGTAGCCAGGCACGGTTTAATACAGTCCAGTTACCAATTGGCCCATTAAGCTCATCATATTCACACCAAACTCGGCAATCAGCATTTAAAAACACTAAACAGATAAAAACCAGCAAAAGAAATATGGAGGCAGTAATTCTACAAGGTCTACATTGGATCCACAAGTACATACATAATTTTATAATGAAACAAAGTTGACAAACTTTATTGAAACAACTAATTTATATCTGTTATCTATCATCAGCCACTGCGAATTTCTCAATCTGTAGAAATACTCACCAGCACCCAAGAATTTTTTCGTAGAAAACACTTCCTAAGAAAAACTAAGATACTTCCAATTAGGCCATCTTTCACTCAGCTCTTGACTGACCAGCTCTGGAAGAGAGAATAATACCGACAATCAAGCCATATAGTGCTAATGCCTCAGCAAAGATGAGAATAAGGATCATCCCAACAAAAAGCTTTGGCTGTTGTGCATTAGCTCTGCAAAATCCAATTACACGATAAGACAAAGAGATTCAAGGTAATAGTGCTTGGAAAATACTTAGCAGACAAAATAAAGCAACAATCATCAACAAGAGTAGTAACGAATATCAACTTATACAGAATCAATAATAGAATCCAATGCTGACAAAGATATAGTACTATTTCAAAGGGATATAAAACAATCCTACTTAAATTTCTCCCAAAGCTGCATCTAAACAACCAAGTAAAGAAAGTGCTTAATTTATAGTGTTAACAAGGTAACACAAAATAGTCAACTTGGTGAGTATTCATGGTAAACATCAAAACCCCAGAAATAATACCAACGTTCTACAGAGAAAATGTACAAAAGCGATATGATCGTAAAGCATTTACCAACTGAAAGTTGTTAACCAAAGCTAAAAGAATTACCTAACGCCAGCATCACCAACGATCCCAATAGCCATACCAGCGGAAAGACCAGCAAGGCCACAAGCGAGACCAGAAGACAGATGGGCATATCCATCGAAAAGGTAATAAGATTTAGCCTTAGGGTTAATTCCGGTACTAATGATAACAGCAATAATTAAGCCATAAATACCGAGCACACCAGCCATAACCACGGGGACGATCGATTTCATCACCAGTTCTGGCCTCATCACCCCCATCGACGCTACACCAACCCCACTCTTCGCGGTCCCATAAGCGGCTCCCATACCTGCGAAACAACCGATCAAAACCCACCCCGAGATCCACAAAGATAGAAATCATTCTTTTTTTTTTTTGGAATAGCGTAAATTGCTTACAGGAGAAAACGAGGGCAGCAGCAGCCCCCAAGAAGCCGAAGAAAGGAGCAGTTTCATCGCCGCTGAATGTTGAAGACATTTTTGTCCGAAAAGAGTAACCAACCGATCGGATCTGACAATGTTTGTTTTGGTTTTGCTCCTGTTAATAGTAATGTTAAAAAATATATATATCTATTTCAAGAGACGCTGGGAAAAAGTAGCGAAAAAGGACTACCCCAAATAACTTGAAATTGGGCCTCTTTTATTGGGTCATAGACCATGGACATTTATTTAGGCTGAACCCTTGGCTCCGACCACCCAATATCGTCATATCAAATCCTTATATAATTTTAACCCCACCCAATTCTAATTTAACCTCTTTTTCATTGCAATTTAAAAAAAAAAAAAAAGGATATTATCAATGTTAAAAAAAAAAAAAAACTCTTCATTTTTTAAAATTTGTTTTGGTTCATAAAACATAATTTACTCTCATTCTTAAAAAGTTTTATTATTGGGGCTTAATTGAATCTGAAGCGGGATAACATTAAAGAAAAACATTATGATCTGAAAACAAAAAAGAATGGCCCAAACTAAACTCCGAGTCTGGTTTCGTTAGGGGGGATGACCATTGTTCAAGCAAGACCCATCTTTTCACAGAATCCCCCGCCCACACCCTTTCCTCATCTCCCCTCTTCTTTATGGGTGAAGTTTTACATGCTTAAGTTATCAACCAACAATAAAAGATAAAATGCAAAGCAATTTTTCAAATAAATACGTCCACTTGTAACTGAATGAACCCCATAATCATTAGGATTTCAACTGTCACCAAATACATTGAGTCCTAAATAGTCAGTCACGGCTCAAACCCGCCATACCTCAATTAGCCTGAGATAAGGGTTTAATTCTTCAGAAGCAGTCAAGTTCCATGGAGTACCAGTATACATCTCTACTCCGCCTTTATACTTTGACAGGAATGAAACCATCATGTTAAAGCACTTTCATCTAGTTTGTTCTATTGCTTACAAACCTTCAAAGTTGATGCAAATAAAATGCTGAACATCCGAGACAAAAGATAATGTAAAAATAATCAAGCTTCAGCTATATTAATTGGATCTTTGCAACATCAGCATCCAACTTGTGGTCACAGTTACACAATAGTTTCTAGGCACTAGGAATTCAGTACATAAAAGGTAAAAGAGCACATACCTCTCATCGGCCAGAACCGCAACATTATGCCAACCTGAAATTTCAGAAATAAGTGTTAGCAATGAAGTAATAACCAAGAAATGAAAAGAATATTCCATTGACGTTCTGCATACAGAAGTGTATAAAAGGAAACAGCCAGCTAATATTGCATAGTACATTTCTCTAACTTATCCAACAGATGATATACGGCATTATATGCTAATGCCTTACGAATCCAAAACCATCTAAAAATATACCATCAGACATGTAACTCACCTTATAATCGTTCAATTTAAATGTCACAAAGGAAATAGCTCACTCTTCAATCATGAAATGAAGAAAAAAAATTGCTCCACGCATACTGATGCTATACGATTCAACCCCAACCCCCAACCCCCAAAAAAGATGCACACATAAACCAAGACAAAATATGTAGATACTGTCCCTCAGATTCATTCCATACAACTAAAATGCCATTCCTTCAACAAAGATTTGAAGAAAGAAATTGAAGTTAGCAATTGATGTTCAATTAAAAATCAGGACAATTTTGAAGTATTTCCTGATAGACGATCTCTGTATGCTTGTCACCACTAAAAGAATACTAAACTGTACACATCAAAAACCAGAAGAAAAGTCAAGACCAGTAATGTCTCATCTGTCAGAATGGATTCAGAATAAAATTTTGGGTCTTGACTACCACCCTTTGAAGTACAACGTCATTAAGCCAATTCATATAAGGATCTTGATGTCATCTTCAATGCCACACGATTGCCCAAAACCCAGATGAGATAGATGAGCCACAACACTTTTATTGAGCCCATATATAATAAAGAAGCCAATTCAACATCCAAATACAGCCTCCTCAAACATATTCCAGTGCCAGTTCCGATAAAATTGGCAAGAAAGCATCAACTTGAGCAACTTTTGCTTTGTTTTGAGGGTCAATCAAGATTGTAAAACACAAAACCATGTTTTTCCTTCCAATGACACCTTCCGGATCATGAACTGCAGATTGTAGAACTCTTTGTGCAGCACCACCATCATTAAGGGCAGTGAACTCATGCAGAGGAAGCTTTCATAGGTCTTGCAGTGTAGCGTCCAATAAAGCATAACCAGTCAATCCTTAACACCATCAATGTTTACTGACTGGCTTCATTGCCATGTGCCTCTCAATCAATTTGTCCACAAAGGAACGAATCTGCAAGTCAAAAGCATCCAAATTAAGTTGATCAAGAAACCAAATCTGTATACAACAATTAAGTATCCATTTTCACAAAGGAATGTACCAACTCTGTAAGAGTGATACAATAAGTTTAGCTAACAGGAAAAATAAAAATAAAAAATAACAGCAGTTGTCCTCTTCACAGTAAAAGGGAAAGGAAGAAGTAACCAATCAAGCAATTCTGCTAAGAAGTCTGTTAAAATGATTGTGATAAAGAATACTATAATAGTAAGATTTATAAACCAAATTTAATTTAGAAACAGAAGTTAACAAAAGCAACAATGCCCTGGCTGTATCATCACAACAGCAATTAACAGAGCCAGTAATGTGCATCAGAGAATCCTTTCAAATTGGGGAGGAAAAAAGGAAAAAGAAAAGATATATCAACAAGTCCAATAGGTGGACTGGGTAAATAGATATAACCTAATACATCACATATAAAATGCATACCTTATTTTTGCGCTTGAAATCAAGAAATTCAGAAACAGCCATGTTTTTCTCTGCATCTGTCGCCTGCTCCATTACCTGGTAAAAGAACTAAAAGCATAAGACCAGGCCGGAAGTAGAGGCATAAAAGAAGTGAGAACTAACCTGTGGAAGTCAAGAAAGGGAAGAGAAGAAAAAAACCTTTGTTGCAGTTTTCTTCATTATCGATTTGTATCCGTCCTTATCAATTTTTCTTGCCTTATAAAGGGGCATTAGCAATGATGCAACATAATCAACAACAGCCTGCTTAATACGATTAGCTCCACTAGGATGATTTTTAAATTGCTCCTTGTTTACTGTAACTTGGGAGATGGAGCTCTCATTCGCTCGTCCATCATGCTTCCATTTTGGTTGCCTTGAACTAGTATTTGAATCTTCCTCATCCTTGGCATGCATTGTTGGATGGAAGAAATCTGAATCAGCAGCAGCAGCTTGAGACTGCCATCTTTCAATGGCATGATAATCCTTAATCCCCCCACTACCAGCAGTATCAACCCATGCTTTTGTGAAGATACTGCTGTCCACAGCCAAACTTTCTCCAGAGTGCTCTCTAAGTTTCAAGTGGCTAGCAATCTCATTCGAATGGCTCCTCTGAGACAGCTTATCTACTGACATTCTGGAACCGTCAAGGTTAACACAAGCAGCAGAGAAATCAACAGACCAGTCCCTAACTCTGCAGTTCCTAGAGTCTATTTCTGATATACAATCTTGCCTTCCCAAAACACCACCAGGCCACTTCCTTTCATCCATTTGTGCATATTGCTCCCTTCTCGCAAATTTGTGAAATGAAGGAATCTTGGGAAGCTGTGGCAATTTGTTGCAGTTGGCTTCTGTGGATGCAAGTGCCTACAGAGTACAATAGTAAATCTCCTTATAAACGTAAGTCAATAACCACAGCAGAAGAACGAAGGAAATATTTCTTTTTAGTGAAAACGAAAAGCAAAAGTATATGAATAATATGGTTGTAGAATGCAATGTTTGGCAACTCTTTGCATTTTCAAAGTAATGTCAAATACTATCACAAGTTATCCAAATTGGCCAGTCTATCAACTAATGATATGAACTTGATCAAAAGTAACAACAAGCATGTAATTCAATTCTTTCACAGTACAAAGCCATCATGAAATATTCTTAAGAAATGATATGAGATGGATGAATGTTAAAAAATTAACAGTAAAAGAAGGTATAAGCTCTATAACTCTTTTGGTCTTTTAAGGGAAACAAGATAAATCCAAATGTCCAAAAGCACAAATAAAGCCTTCTGCAAGGTGGCATACAAGTAACGATATTTTAAGGACACTGCATTAATGTAGATATGCCACTGTCAAAATGGTAAAAGAAAGAACAAACCTCAGCAGCAGCTTTTGCTGCAGCTCGAGCAGCTGCTTCAGCAGCAAAGGCAGCCTGCTCTTCCTCAGACATTGCTAGGTTGACGGCTTCCATCTCCATATCAATTGATTTACCATTCTCTTTCACATTGAAAGGATACTGGTTTCCAACAGAAAAAGAATCCTGCAAGGTTCGTTTACTCTCTAAAGTAGCATGATGCGAGCGTAGAGGTGGCTTTCCTGGGGCAGGATCTTTAAGGGATTTCCTCATTGAAGAAGCTTTTGCCTTACGGAACACTTCAAGCCACACATTAACTAGCTGGCTTGCTATAGCACGTATGTCACGACTTGTATGTACACAAACTTTTTCCTTAACAGTTTTCCCTATGCCTAAAAAAACAATTATCAGAAAAATGTCATCTTAGCCACTTTTATTCATCACATACCAATTCATGGAAAAGAAATGCACATAGAAACAAAAACTTCACACATTACTAATGATGCAATAAATATGACATGCATAAAATAAACCAATACCTGATGAACGAACTGCAAGTAGATCAGTTGAAACAAGCACAAGAAGACGAACACAATGGCGCAACAGTTGAGTACCATCTTTTCCCATCGAATCCTGTTAATTTCAATTCAACACAATAAACATCAAAGGCCATTATCTAATGCTACTAAATATATGCATTACTAGAACAAAATCCATAATAGGACTTAATGATGGATAACAAATCAGGAAAAGCAAAAATACCAGCATCCATGAGTTGAGTGTGGTAAGCCCCTCCTTTGTCCCAGCAAAGGATTTTAAGGATTCTAGTGGGAGACCCAACAACTTTTTGGCCAGATGCAATCGTCCTGCAGTGGTTTTCACATTGAAGAACATATCCCGTAGTAAAGCTTCCCTGGACAAAAGCCGAGCTCGGTCCAAAGAGTTTTTGTACAAGCCATTAGAAAGTTCAACTGCTTCAAGTCTCTTGATTATGTCCCTAGCTTCATCCCTTTCCGATTCTGATTGTCTCTGTGCAGTCTCCATTGCCTCTACTTCAGCTGTATAATCATTTCCAGTGGTGAGTATGTCAATCAGTCGCACAGCCTCCCGAAGTCCACTCAACATTGCACCACCAACTGTGTCAGGATGCTCCTTGCAAGTAGCTTCTCCAGCAAAAAATAAGCAGTTCTCAACGGGCTTGCCCAACATATCATAGTCTTCTCCCGATGCTCCAATGGCAACATAGGAGTAAGCACCATAGCTGAAAGGATCCCTGCCCCAATCAGTCACTACAGAGGCAACTGGATCAGGAACTGAAGCCTCTCCAAAAAGTTTACGGAGAGCAATTACTGCATGTTTTATATGATCCGATGATCTCATACATTGACCATCAATAGCTGCCTTACCAGCCACTAAGGCTATGAGAACAGGAGCACCAACAGTTTTTCTGACGTTCCAAAACATAAAGCAATGGCCCCTACTATCTGTTTCCTCAGCAGTCACTCCAAAGTAATCCACGGTATCATCCCAAAACACTTCTGGAAATTCCAAGATAACTTTATTAAGAACTCCGAAACCAAGCCGCTGTATGGAAGAATGTTTCCATTGGGGCAATGGAGGAGAAAACTTTATGGCTCCTGCTTTCAAGCAACCAAGTGGCACAGTAACAAGCACAGCATCTCCTGAAAATTCACTGCCATTTGATATGGAAACTTTGACCTGCCTATGTTGAATATCGTCAATTCCAGAGCCCTTTGCGCCCTTTGGGCTGTACAAAATGTTAGTGACTACATGGTTCAAGTGGATGGGAAGTCCTTCTCCAAGAGACTCAACTACTTTGCTGTAACCTCCTTTAATCATACAATGAGCTCCTCCAAAGCCACCATAAACATCATCTTGATTCCAATGGGGAAGAGACACTTCCTTAAGTGAAGCAGCACAACCATACTCCAAGTGGGCGTAGTGCCAATTCATAACCCTTCTCTCAAGGGGACTCAAAATCTCCTCTTCAGAATATTTTTCTTCAGGAAATTTTCCAATGACATTGCTTGATTTGGAATCATAGAAAGCATCAATTGAAGAATGTAATTCTGTTTCTCCAATATCTGCTCCTATTTTTTCCATGCGATGCCTTCTAAGGGCATATTCTAAACCATCCTCAAGAGACATTCTCATTGCTTTTTCACCTTTTTGAGCAACAAGAAACACCATATCATCAAGAAGAGCGTTGTATTCAGCTTCCAGAGCATCATCCAGATCTGCAGGAACCTTTTGACCAGATACAATGTCATAAAGAGGACATGCACTATTTAACACAGTTAACTCTAGCCCCAACTGTGCACAAACCAATGAGGAAGGATCTGGTCTTCTATTAGTTGACACATCAGCGTCAACTCCAGTAATAATGCTAGCACCAAGATCCACAGGTACTGAAAGAGAGGAGCGATCAGTATAAACACGACCTCCTATCCTATCCCTAGCCTCAAGTACAACTACAGAAAATCCCTGACGTTGCAAGTGGCATGCAGCAGTCAATCCAGCAGGACCAGCTCCAACAACTATGATTTTCTTCCTGACCTCTGAATCACCCTGCTGGTGTTGATTCCTGTCAGGATTATCATAAGCTGCAGATTGAACATATTGTGAGTCACTCCCTTCTTCCAGAGTTGTTACAGGGGCTATTCCCATTTCAACTGCATCAAAAGATAGATCAGCACTTGGAACGTGAAAACTAATCAATCCAGGGTTTAATTTTGCATCAATGCATCCATTTTGCTGGCAAGAATCACTTGGGTATTCTTCTTGTTCTTTTACATAAGGTAATTCTGATGTGATAGAATTAACCAATACTTCAGATATCGTGGCTTCAGATGCCTGGTTTTGATCATCAACTCTAACAACATTCTTTGCATCCATAGTACCTTCAGAAGTCTTGACCTGACCAAGGATGAAGGCAACCCCATCCTCTGAATCAGCAACAGAGGCCCCAGAGCTACCCTCAAAATTTTTTTCCTCTAGAAGTTTGTAGTTATGCTTAGCACTAAGTTCTGCCTTCTCTTTCTTGGAAGCAATTCCAAAGTTTATATAACCCTGCAAAAAGGAGGTTAGCATTCGATTTTCTACCAAACTTTAAGATCAACATTAAACATACACCAAAAGTAATAAAATAAGAGAACTTAAATATATATATATATATATATATATATAAGAAATTCTATCCATCGAAAAACATATATAACATATTTGGACTCATTCAAGAGTAAACACTTACACTCTGATCAAGAAATGCATATGTCTCCCTAATTAAGGAAGCTCGCAGTGGTTCACCCTCTGAAGGAGTATCACTAACACCACAGTCAACAATAGGCAAAATACGGGTAACATCTTTACTCCAGAGACCTAAGATATGATTCCTGTAGCACCAAGTAATTAAATCCGATTGAAGAAAACAGGACTTAAAATAGAACATCAGAAGATAGAAGATAGCACATTGGAAACTGGCAATCATATCAACTCCTATAAAAGAAGGAGACCAAATACAAATCCTTGAATATACAAGTAAATTTAATGAACAATTCCAAGTTTAGAGGCCAAATCAAAAATCATAAAAATAAAAATTACCACAAAAGATGCTACCTGGCGCACAAGGTCTCAGGGGTAATTAATCGCTATAGTTTAAAGTTAGAACAAAAAAAGTGGGAGCATAAAAAGGAGCCCATACTCAAAAAAGCTCGTAACAATAATAAATTAGTAAACAAATATATACATATTCACAGACCTGCATTCCAAATATTCCTGTAGCCCACCTCTACACTTCAAGACCTCCTTGAATTTGATCTTCTCAACTGGACCCACAGAACGAGCTTTCAGTCCAGCTGATACTGCTGCCTCATCAAACTTCTCTCTTGCTCTGACGGAACAATCACTGTCCACAAAATGTTGACTTCCAAAAAAACCTTGCTCATTCATCAAATTCTCCCAATCAGCATCCCCTTCATAAGCCATATCTCCATGCCTACGTTTTTTAATATTGCGCCCACGTCGCTGGAAAACTGATGACTTACTGTCTTTGATGTCAGAACTAGGCAGAGAGACTGCATCTTCATGGCAACTTTCATTTTCATCAGGTGTTAAAGATGTGGAAGAATCTCCATTAGCCTCTTCATTGATGAAAAGACTACCACGGCTGTGAACACAGGGCCCATGGCATGCCCTTTCCGATTGTTGATGGAAAGCAAAGTTGCACCTCTGAATGGAAACAAGTTTGGGATAAACAGAGGTTTCTAAAAATTTTTCCTCAGCACAAGTATTTGGACCATCACTGCAAGTCTCTTCCATCTTCAGTGAATCAACAGCAGACAGAGACAGATTATAATGACTTTCTAATTTTGCAGCCTTTTCATATGCATTTTTGTAAGACTTGTTTAACAACTCATCATTAGAGTTCTCTTTCCCAGCTAAAGAAATTTCCGGATCTGCACTTGAAATGTCCACAGGTTGCAGAAACAAACCTCCACTACCAGACCCAAGGTTTGCTTCCATCTGCTTTGAGGAAGAAAGAGAGTTGGGCATTTCTACTACACAGCGCACTGAACTGCCTGTTTTACCTGTAGATTGAAGCTTTAATCCATCCTTTAGACCTTCACTTTCTGGTTTACCCCTCTGGTCAATTCCCAAACAATTGTCCCGGAATGCAGTGTCAGAATCCTTGTCACAAACTTTAGGCGACCTGCTCAGATCCTCTATACGACCCTTTTGAACATCTAAATCACATGGTTCCAAAATGCTTTCTTGTTGACACACACCACCGTCAAATCTTTGGTCCTCAGCTGTATTGCATACAAAATCATCGCAATTTTTGCTAGGGTTTGTTGAAGCAGAAGCATGATGGGTGGCTTTGCAATTCCGTTTCGAACTAGAATTTGGGCAAGATTTCCTTAGTGAAACAGATTGAGACCTGTGAATAAAGGTTGACAATAACCCTTCCAACTTCTCATCCAAAGATTGATTCGATCCTTCTCCAGGCCACATGCTTCCCTCATTCTGATCTTTCTCAAGTTGAGATTCCAACCCTTCTGATTCATCATCAACCCCACTGGGCTTTGCTTTTGAATCAAACGTGTTACTCCTTACTTTCAATGTACGCTTTTGTTCGACCCCTTTATCATTAACCACATCAGACCTATCTTCACCAATATCCTGACCCTTAGCTCCAGTGTTTGACACAGATTTCTCATTCAAAACCTCACCATCCTCGACAGACTCATTCAAAGAATAACCCCTTCCCCTCATTGCTCCCAGTTCAATATCTTTTTTAGGACCCTTTAACTTCTTCCTAAAGCTCGCCAACGTATCATTCATTCCCCCCAAATCCTCCTCATCCTCGCCCAGGGTTTTACCTGCCTTAACATCGACGTTCTGGCACTTCTCAACACTGCCCTCCAAGCCAGACTTAACCATTTTAGCATTCTTAGGTTTCCTTGTCAACAAAGACCCAATGGGCTCATCATCATCTGAATCAAGACCAACCTCCACTGCTTTGACCTGTAATCTTTTCTTAGAACCCTTACTACCATCCATTTTCTTGTTCCTAGGTTTCAACGATTTCTGTAATGAAACCTTTTCTAACCCTAGCTCAACATTATTCCCCAAATCAAATTGCAATTGCGGACCTGCCTTGGAATTTGAACCATCATCACTTTCCATCTCTCAATTACCAAAAAATTAAAGCTCATAATTTCGAATAAAGATTCCCTCCTTCAAGCAACTGAAGCCATAGCCAAAATCAAATGTTCCAACACTTATCAAATCCTTAAATATTCACCAAAAAAAATTATATTCACAGATAAAAATGGATAGAGTTTCTTATCGTCAATGCCTTGGTCCTACTCTCTCTCTCTCTCTCTCTCGTGCATGGAATCCAATGAAGAAATAAGATTTCAAACAAGGAAATAACAAAAATCTAGGGTTTTTAAGAGAATTAGTAAAGCGTAAAGAGAGAAAGAGGTAAATAGAGAGAGAGATATTGAGAATAAAACCAGACCTGAGGGACGAAAGCAGTGAAAACGATGGCGTTAATGGAATTTGTCGAGGAGAGTGAGAAGCTCACGTTAGCGTCGTTGTTTGCGGAATAAATGTCACGCCGTACATATTTCGCCGCTACCACGGTACAGTGAAAATTTTTATTATGACTTACGAAAATAAAAAAGAGAATGGATTGCATTGGACTAGTATTAGTGTAACTTTTATATTTTTAAAATTTTTGAATTAAAATTTTTTATTTTTATTTAAATAAGTTATAAATTTAATTTTAATCAAATATTTAAAAATATAAAAATTATATTAATATAAGTAAATCCTCTCAAATAAAAATAGTAATTTATAACATGTAACATATAAAAAAATATGAATGCGGATTTTTTTGAATCAATAAAAATTTATATAATTATTTTTATATTTTTATATTTTGTTTTTATAAATATTAATAAAAATTATCCTATTTTTAAATAAAATTCAGCTTTCATTCAAAGATTTTTATTAAATAAATTTATTTGACAAATAAGAATGAGTTAAATTTTATTTTTTTTCAAATTACTAATTTTACATTAAAGTTAAAAATAATAAACTATATAGTAATGTGATATATTATGTACATGAAATGAGCTTTGCATATTAATTAATATTAAGATATTTTCAAAAAATATTTTTCCCATAAATGTTTATTACTATTTTGCCTTTTTTTTTTAATAGGAGAACGTAATTGTTGCCTACTTGATGCTAAATGCAAAATGTTAATCAAATTTTGTCATATTTTTATAATTTTTTTCTAATTTAAAAAATGGATGATTGAATCATGTTTTTAGATAAAAAAATAATGTATCAAGAATCAGATGTTCAATATTTTATATTTTATGTTGTTTGATAAGCTATACATAATCATAAATGTGATGGCTCATTTTATGTATTCTACTAAGCATGGTATTATTATAGTTTGTTTAGAACGAGAGAAAATACCCATAATGATATAAATAGAAATATATTAACCACATGGTAAGGGACAAAGTTTTGCAAATTGTGTAATTTTTTTTATTGTAAAACTTTGTTATTTTCATAGATAATTGCTTTAGAATTGTTGAATTTTAATAATTAAATTTTAATTTTTTATGATTTTAAATAAAATAATTATTACTTCAAAAAATTTTAAATAAAGTACTAAGAAACTATATTTAACTCTTTGTTTTTTTTTTTGGTCGATAACCATTGAACTGTGATTGGAAGTCTAATTAAAGCATCATTGGAGTAATCAAAATTCAATAGTAATTTATTTGTTGTTTAAACGCTTAAGGCTAATGTTACTTACAGTTACAGTTGTCAATATTATATTTGAAAATTCGTGTTATTATGTCGTAGTTTATATTAAATAAATTTTAAATATGATATATATAATTTTAACACAAATATAATATGAATATTTGAATAATATAAATAATTTAAATATAAATATGATATATTTATTATACATATTATACGTAATACAAAATAATTAATATATTTAAAATTAATTTATGTCAAACTAAGACAATACGACGTGATTAACACGATTAATTATTTAAATAATACAATATGACACGACATAATTAATATGATTATATATGAATAATACGATTATATATGATTAATTTATTTATTAAAACAAAAAATATAATTTAAATTAATATTTAAAAAAGCTAAAATTAAATTTTTATAATTTATTTAAACATTAAAATGATATGATAAATATAATTATTAATTTATTTTTTAAATAAATTAAAATAAATTACAAATTTTTTATATTATGAATAATACCGTATCTTAAAAGTATCATTATTATTTGACACCAACACAACACAAATAATATCATGTTTTAATCATGTCAATACAATTAAAATACGAAATACGATTACAATAAATTCATATATAATTTTTTTAGTATCATTTTTATTTATATTATCGTATCGTGTTTAAAATTATCATATTTAATTAAAACAAATTAAATCTAAAAGATTTTTATAATTTATTTGAATCTAATTTGATATAATTTAGCAAAAAAAGTTACTAATCTGAATTTAAAACGAGCAAGGGTTAAAATTTGTTTGAAGTCAAAATAATTTGAATTCATTGACAAAAATAATAATTTAAACTCAAAATGACTTAAATTTAAATGATACTAAAAGCGGATTAAAAAAATATGAACTTAAATAAATTTTATTTTATTTTTAAAAGTATTAATTTAATTAAAATAATAAATATAAAACATATTATCAATCTACTAATATTTAATAACTTTAATTATCAAAAAATTTTAATAAATTTAAATTATCTTTAAAATTCGTATATAAATAATAAATATAAAACATATTATCAATCTATTAATATTTAATAATTTTAAATTATCTTTTAAAAATTGTTATATATTATAAAATATTAAAAACTTTTCAAAATTATCTTTCTAAATTACAAGTATCATTTAGTTGTGAGTAAAAGATATTTGAAAATTTCCAAATAATTTTAGATTAAAATATTATCTTAAAATTTAATAATATTATGATGGTGCTAATAATCCTACATATGGTATTAGTGTTATAGTATCTATATTTGGATAGATTTTTAGATTTTATTTGATAGGAAAGATGAAAAGAGATAAAGATAAAAATTTAGTAATCTAATAATTAAAATTTATAATAAAATTTTTTATATTGTAACTTAATAATTAAATTAATACCTTTTTATCCTTAATTTTTTTCATCATTTTATCCAAGCAAAGCCTTAATTTAATATATTTTTGTATTTTAAATCATTACAATAATAACAACGTTTTTGTAATATATAAATTTATACATACCTATATATATATATATAATTGTCTTTTGTCACTTTTTCTATGATGATCATGTACTTTTTTCCCAAGCAAAAAGAAAAACATTTTGTACTAATCTAAATTAATTTTATAGAGACAACTGATCTTCCGCTATGGACTCGAAGCAAAAAATGAGCTCTAACTCTAATAGCAAGAGACCACCGCCTGACCCAGTGGCTGTGCTGAGAGGCCACCGCGCTTCCGTCACCGATGCATGTTTCCATCCTTCCAAACCCATTTTGTTCACCGGGTAAATCCTCAACTCTCTTCTTTACTTTTTTTTTTTTATCTCTCTTTTGTTTAATTTCCAACACAGAATAATTAATTGGGTTAATTCTATTTTGCAGCTCTTCAGACGGTGAGTTGCGGATTTGGGACACAACCCAGCATCGCACAGTATCATCTTCATGGTTTACTTTCATTTTTTTTAATTTCTTATTTTCTTTTACCTCTCTTTTTTTTCTTCGACGAAATCGAGTTTGTTTTGTTCCTTTTTATAGGGTGCATAGTACTGCGCATGGGATTATAGCTGTTGCTTGTAGTTCTTTGTTGGGGACCAACAAAGTTATCAGGTGGTTTTCCTTGTTTGTTTTGTTTTATGGTTTCTGGAATTGTAAGCTAAATGGGTCTTTTTTTAATGTTTTTCTGACATGTGTAGTCAGGGCAGGGATGGAACTGTCAAGTATTGGGACATCGAAGAGGGAGGTCTCTCCAGGTATTCTACTGGAGATGTTCTGGCTTATCAATGTCTGTTTTTTTGAAGTAGTTTATATATTATAGGAAAACATGGTTGGCTAATTTTGTTATTCAATAAATGCCTAAATTTCCATGACATAAACTATGAAGTTTGATAATCCATACAGTTTTTAATGATTTATTGGAATGTATTGTCAGCCAATGGCAAACAACAAGTTAGAGATTAAATGATAGTCTTTTTTCTTTCAAGTATATCGTTTGGTTAGTTTGTAAATTAATTACTCGAGAGTTGAAAATATAGAGAATTGAGTTAGTCTATTGCTGCGTAGATGGTACAAGGGATTAGATTATCTGTTATCTTGTGTCAAATAGAAGTGTTCGATCTAGCTTTCTCTCATTTGAGGTGTTGTTTTGTAATCGAGCTTTGTTATTTTTATTAACCTCAGCTTTATGGGCATGCCAACAGATTAGAGATCTTTAGAAATCCTTCATGATTTAGTGTTTTGATTCTGTTGCCACCCACCAGCAATATCTGGTTATGAGTTGGAATCCCACCTTGCTAATATTTCGATTCTTGATAGGACACCTTCACTTACAATCAGTTCAAATGCTTACCACTTTTGCAAGCTTTCTTTGGTGAAGAAACCTATTGCTAATGCAAAGCAAGGGAAGGAAACTGTTGATATAGAAATTTCAAAAGATAGCAGAGGAAAGACTGCAGAAAATCAAGTAGAGGGTTCCAACACCTTTGAAGGTTTGTTTATGAGATTCAAGCAGGTTTTGAACATAAATGTTTGTGAGAACTAACTCTCCTCTCTATAGGGTTACATTCTCGATGAGCTTCTAGATTCAGAAATGGACTTAAGGGACCATTTCTTTTGCCTGATCAATACTTATTTTGAGGACTTAGTATGGCCTATCTGACTATGAAAGAAGAACAGATGCCCTCTTAGAAACTAGAAAACAAAATTTAGAAACTTTCTATGTAGATATAGAAAATTTACATAGAAATTGGGGCTGGAGCGGTTGTAGTAATATTTCACTTTTATATCTTTTACTGTTGTGTAAACCATCCTAGCTGTAATATGCAAAGCAACCACTTATCAACTACATCATACATTGGGGCAAATTCTTTCGGTTTTTTCTTGGTAATGATATAGCATGTGTGATCCTTTTGAGGGGTAAGCTGTAATCTGGAATTGGAAGATGCATCCTGGAAATGAATCATAGTCTTTTTTTTTTTTGCTTTAACAAGGAAACAAGCGCTTGATATGCTAGAGACACCCATGCATGTTCTAGTCCATACTACATAGTATAGGGCAATACAGTTTTAAGTGGCTAGATTTTGCATTAGATTTCTCTTGCCAATGCTCATTTCTCTATGTTTCCTGCACATTTATATGTTTATTGCTTGCTGATTCTACTAAAATTTCTTTGCTGTGGCCTGCTAGATCATTTTCAAGGTGGGTTAATAGAAGAAACATATGTTGAAGAACTTAAGTATGTGGCTATGGCAGGAGAGCAATCTTATGAGGTCAATATGCTTCTCTTGGTTTATTTTCCATTCCATTTATTCTTTATTTCTTTCTTCTTATTTGGTATATCCTATTGCTGATTGTTTCCTTCTGTTTTATACGCTAAGGTTGAGATTTGGGATCTCAATACAGGTGAAAGGTCTGTACGGCTACCTCAAGAGAGCGCTGTTGGTTCTTCTAGTTTCTCTACTAAGGAGAGAGGTCAGTTTCTGAAACATTACTTCTGATTCAGGAAAATTTTTGTATTGGTAAATCAACTCTAGGATACTAAAGATTTGACTAATTATTCAGTGCCATCATTCAAACATCTTGTAATGGAATTGGTTGTGGTAGCTTTTGTATTTAGAAACATACTGGCATGTACGTATTTGAGAACAATTGTCTATAGGAAATTTTTTGTAATGCCGTTCCCATTGAGTTTCGTTGTGCTAATTGTTGATTTTTGAGGCATTTCAAACTATAACTGGTTGTTTTTTGGCAGGAATGTGCATGGCAGTTCAATCATTTTTACTCCCTGGATCACAGGGTTTTCTTAATGTCTTAGCGGGGTATGTGTCTCTGATATCTTCATTTACTGCACCTGAGTTGTTTCCAACACCTCCAATGTTTCTCTTCTCCAATCATTCTCAAAATATTAGAGATTGTGGTATGGTGTCCCACGTTTGGAATAGCTATCTAAGATAGTCATTTATGAATTTCTTTGCTGCATGTACTAGTTATGAGGATGGTTCCATTCTTTGGTGGGATATACGTAATCCTGGGATTCCTATAACTTCTGTGAAGTTCCATTCGGAGCCAGGTGTGCAACCAAAAATATGGAGACTCCACATGTATTCTCCTTCATCTTTATCTTACTCTTCTAATTTCTTTCTCTTCATGAAGTATGTTTATTGCTTATTTTGTACACAGTTCTAAGTTTATGCGTTGATGGATCATGCAATGGAGGTATCTCAGGGGCAGCAGATAACAAGATTGTAATCTACAATTTGGATTATCCCATGGTAATTCTCATTGGCTTTAAAGTTCATTCCACTTTATTTAAACCTCCCATGGACTTCTTTTTCATGACTTGTGAGCTGGTTGCTAACAACATAGCAATTCACATACCCTCTAGCTGCAATCTTTTAGTTATAACTAGAATTTTCGTTCTGGCAATCATTGGCCAAATGTTTCCTATACTGTTTCTATATGATTATTTGCATTTGTATGCCTTTGCGGATCCAGTTTTCCAGTAATGTCAACGAGTGACATAGCATGGATGATGATGCTAGTTTTGGTGACCTTGTTCTTTCACTTTAATCTTGGTCTCCATTGTGATAGAGGCAAATGAAAAATAAATGCATTTTGAATCTTTGCTTAACTACTAGAATTCTAGGTAGCATGGGCAAAAACCACATTATTTTCTCTAGTTCTTCTTATATTATGTTCTTCTTGATGTAGGGTTCTTGTGTTGTTAAGAAAGAAATTAGTTTAGAACGGCCAGGCATATCCAGTACCTCAATTCGTCCAGATTGTAAAATTGCTGCAACTGCTGGCTGGGACCATAGGTTTGGTTCACATCTTATATCTTTTTCTCTTTTCCTAGTTTTCTTGATTTTGGATGTTCTTCAGGCATTCATCCTCAAATTGAACTCAATTTACTGGATCTATTGTTTGCAATTTTCATTCCTCAAGGGGAAATCTTTCATTGAATAATTGAACTATATAATCTAGATATGTTTTGTATGTCTTCAATAGGAAGAATCCTTTACGTTGATTTCATTAATGAGTTTTTGGTTCAATCTGAATTCAATTGAAAATCAAAGTCGTCTTGGTATACAGACTTCCTTTAATTAGATCGCCATGTGTCTAATCCACCAAATGGAAGTGCAACTTTAAGTCTTCATCACTCGAAACTGGATTACAGAACTATATGTTGTACTTCTAACTAGTTTTTGCCTAAGTTGAAGTGAGTTGTTGTTCTATATATGTCCTCAGAAATCAAAACCAGAAAGATATATATATATATATATATCATTATGTCAAACAGATTAGAGGTAACCATTTGCATACTGATCATTTTTATTAGGTATATGTGCAAAGGATTGCTTTTAACTTGCCTTTTTATTTGATTATGGTGGCAGAGTTAGAATATACAATTATCGCAAAGGAAATCCTCTGGCAATTCTGAAATATCACCATGCTACGGTACAGTGAAGATTCTAAAGCTAAAATTCTGACATTTTATTTTTCTTTAAAATTATCTGGTGTGATCTCATTGAATGTAAATGTGGTCTGATGAGCTATAATTGTGTTTTTATTACTTTCACGTATCGTGCTATTCTTCAATTGCATTAATGGTGGTGATTATGGACAGTTGATTAGTTATTCCATGTTATTATAACAATTTGTATTACAGTCTAGAAATAAAATATCTACTCTTGCAGTGTAACTCTGTCTCGTACTCAAACGACTGCAAGCTGATGGCCTCTGCATCAGAAGACACAACAGTTGCACTATGGGAACTATATCCTCCTCAAACTTGAAAAAAAATGTTTTATGTCCTCTCAGGAGCTGTACGGTTACCTCAATTGTATGTTGTTAATAAGTATTTATGTCTATTGTCAGTCCTTAATAGAGGGTATATTAGACAGACTTTGAGTTTGTACTATATTAACCTTAAATCAAAGCTGAGAACATTTTGATAAGTTCTTTGCAATATCTGAAATGGTTGGAGTGAATTAGTCTCTTTATGTGTTTGGGTGTGTCTCTCTGGTTATTATAGAAATGAATCTGATGATCTTTCTGCTTATTTATATCTATACATATACTTAACATAATAAGTGACCATGTGCTTTGATCAATGTTAGATTTGGAGGACTTGTCTGTTGAAGTGGGAAAAGAGTTTAGGGAAGGAGTGCAATTATTGAAGTAATGTGAAGATAAAGGAGTCATCTGGAAGATAAGGATCTAATCCTGAATCTATTCCCTTGCATTAAAGCCTTAAACTGGGGTCTTTTCAGAATACCCATTGCCGTCCCATGTTTGTCAGAATCCTTTGGGTCATGACAATAGCTGCTCATGCAGGGAACAGTTGTTCACATGGTGAGTTTTCCATTTGTTAAACAGTTCACATCAACTGTGATACTGACTTCTTTTCTCTTCCTATATTCCTTTCATTGCTTGATTATAACAAACTTTAAACTAAGTGATACTAACTCATTTTTACTCAAAACTGTATTCATTCCAGGACGCAATATATGGATTCTTTTTCTGCATAAATTATTAAGCTATGCTTAACTACAAGATTTCAATTACTATGAACAATTGGAAAGTTGTCATGAATAAAAAAAACGAGCATTTTATGCCGATACGATCTAAGTTTCTGAGAATGATTTTCAATGAATCGTTCTTCGTCTCTAAATCCGTCTCAGTATTATTTTAAAGGAACGGAATTGGAAACCGATTAATTTATATTGATGTCATATCAATATTGACAAACAAATCTACACAAAGAAAATACAGATTGTGAAGATCTCAACGTAACATCTGAAGCTCACTTTCCACCCTTAAAAGCATCCGACCAAGAAACCGGCTAACGACTCCAAGTCTGATTTGGATGCAAAGTTCGGTCGTCCGGCCAGGATGGTCTTCGAAAGCATTTGTGTAGTTTTGACTTTTGACAGTTCATGCCCTTTACTGTTTAGCACCTTTTTATCACTTTGAAGTCCAAGCACGTAAAATAAAAAAGGCCAGTAGAACTTAAGCAAGTACGTACGTTGGTGCCCCATGTGCCAAGGACAAACTTTTAACCACGCTATAATGTTGGTATGTCCCAATCAAAAGCACTAGTTTAATCAGTTTGTCTTGTTCCCCAACAACAGCCAAAGAAAACTTGTTCTTTTTCGACATGGATCATTTGGGTTCACAGCTTCATTGAGTTTGCTATAATGATGTCCTTACCATGTGCTCCTGGAATCTTCTTCCCTACACCCCCCTTTTGTTTCACATCTTGGAGTTTTTCGATTGAAGGGAGAAATATGGTTAAAAGAAATTTTATAAAATAATTTTTTTTTGGGATTTAATTCTTTATCTATATAATTTTAAGAGCGTATTTTTTTAAATTGACCGAATAATGCATTCCGGAGTTATTTTAAAATGTTTTAAAATGAATTAATGAAAGCAATATTCAAATGAGCCAAAAAATTTTCTATCATTGATCCTCAAAGTGTGTTTTTAAAAGTATAAGCATATATCATTCTAGGAGACTCTGGATTCTTGAAATGCATTATAAAACTTGGGGAACTTTGGAATTGTATGCCTAGATAGAAGCCAATTGGAAACGAATTCATCAAACAAGAAATGTCGTGAGGGATAGAGATAAAGACATTTGAAATCGAATTTAGCTTGAATGATCTGACTTCATCCATTTGAACATCGATGTTCAGATAGAAACATTGCAGCTACCTAATCATTTAATTTCAAACATTGCAGCTACCTTATCATTTAATTTCTTCTAAGTAAGCTGCCATGCATAAGAATAATTTTCAAATTTGAAGCTAATCTGTTATAAGCACCATTCTTCTAAGGAAAACCAAAGGTTGTTTGACTTTTTTTTTAATATTATATCTTATTATTCATTTCATAAGTGTATTTGTATATTCATTTGTTAAGCATCTTGATTATTATTAATTGCTAAACTCAGTGCAGAACATATGTCAATGATTTATATATATGAGAGGTTATGAAGAGAAGGAAAAAATTTAGATAAACATTATTATTATTATTATTATTAAACATGACAGAAAATGTTGGAACTAAAGAGAAACTTTTTTTCTAACTTCTTAGAGTGTTCGAATATAGCTTAAGAAACCCTGAGTTTTTAAGCTAAAAAATCCAAAAAAAAAAAAAACTTTATAGTACTTTTTAAATCAGAAAATCATATATCAATGATAAATTAATTCAATGGTATTGAAATCAATTTTAAAATTGAATATCTTGAATTCAAATTTTAACCGTAACATAAAATATTAAAAAAATTAGATACCAACCACTAATTCAAATATTTGAATGCATTGAAATGATTTTTATTCGATGTATTTTTTTTTTGTTGAAAATCCAGAAATAATTCCATCTAAGCTGAAGGATTACAAATTAAATTAATTTTTCTCTATTTTCCCACGTTCTTGAATTAGAATAGCTATTAGCATCAACGTGCCATATCAAATACATTATCACACAAATGAAAGTAGAATTTATAATTTTCATATAGTCACTCTCAAAAAGTGACGGATTCAAATTTTAAAACTTATCCTTCTTTGTATGAAAAAAAAAAAGAAAATGAAAGCAAATTTTTATTTCTTTTTGTTATCTCAATTCATCATAATTTTTAATTTGACTTAATAATTAGGATAATATTTTCAATTGGAAGTTGAGCTCCAGTTCCTTGTCGATTGGAAATATCAGAGCTAATTAAAAAATCAAAACTTAATATCTATAAATCTCACAGAATATTATTTCTAGGGCAGGCTTATCAAATAAAAATTCTCTGACTCGAATATTTCGGTTGGCAAGCAATATATTACATATTATTCTTTTCTTTTCTTTTCTTTCTCCCTGGAGAAAATAAGTTTCATATTTTCATACACAGCATTTCTAAATTCTGAAATCTATCAAGGACAAGCAGCGTGAGGAAAATGCAGGGGCAAAACAAATAAACAAAGGAATGTTTTGCAGAGAATCTATAAAAAAAAATGGCGTCAAACTATATATGATTCAATGGATAGAATGTTGCAAATTAAAGTTGAAGGTATACCTATGTACCTAATAATTAATTACGATGGCAAAACAGATGAGACAAACATAAAAATTAATGCATTGTCCCAATTTAAAACATGAAAACAAAGACAAGATTTCACAGCTCACTGAGGTTCCAATGTTCCCAGACGGTTTAATTATTCATGAACCCTACGTGTTATATAGCTCAGTTTTCATTTGCACGTCTTACTGTTTGTCAGCTAAGTTCGATAGCCATCCAAAATGACCAACCAGTTCAATTATTATGAGAATTAATAAGAAGGTTCATGTCCCAATCTTCCATCACATTTTCTTAATCAAATAAAGAACAAAGTACGGTTTCAGACCTTGAACCAGTTTGATTTGTTTTGAAGCTATGTTTTTGTTTCATTTTGCTTGTCAGAGATGTATACAAAATTCTTCTTAAAGCAAACGCTAAGTTCAATTGGCAAATCCTGTATAACTATCTTTACAGTTGGTTGTTGCAAGGCAACAAAAAATGCGAAACAGCTCGAAGCTGCAAACCTGCAAAGTCCTAAGTATCAACTTTTGGTTTGGTCTAAAAAGAAATCAGAATCATTATTTTAGTTATATACACCTAAGAAGGAATATTTCCTATCAGAAACAAAGTCACTATTTCTTCCCAAACAAAATCCCAAGTGTCCCTTCACTATTTCTTCAAACAAACTCAAACATAGTTGTATTTTGCAAGCATTGGTCGTTTTTTAAAAATGCAAATAGTTGTATTAAGAGCAGAACAGTTCAACCCAAATAATTACTCTGCCGCCAAAATTTGACATGTAAGTTGGAGGATAGCAATTAATTCTTTGGCATAGTCGTATTGGCTTAAATCAGTCAGTTGCAGTCCCCAGTTGTCTTAATTTGGCTCCTACTGTGATTTCAAAGGAAGAGCTATTGAGATATCAGTCAACAAGGGCTAATATTGTTGGCTCATGGACTGGTTGTTGGCAGGATTTAGAACCAAATGGTCATTCAGTTTCTTTTGCTTGTATGGGGAGGTTTCCCCCCAAACGAGTCTTGTTTATGCAAAGGATTTTGAACCATATATATATATATATATATTATGTATGTATGTATGTATGTATGTATGTATGGTTTATGCAAAGGATATCAAAAGATTTGGATTCAGATAAAAAATAAGAATGTGAGTTTCTCATTAATTTTATTTTCCCTTTTTTGACATGGTCTTCACTTCATGTTTTGCATTGGAAAACGCAAGATACCCTTTGGACAAAAACAATGCACAAAAATTATTATGATTATTTAATTTATGATCTGAATGAAGGAAATATTAACCAAATGGTTACTTTAAGATTAATTAAAAGTTTATCAAATACTTGATATGAAAAGAATCTAATCATACCATAATATCAAACATAAGCTCTTAAAAAATTCATGTGAAGCCACAATAAACAACAAAAGAAAAACGACCACCTTATGGCCAGTTAACTCGGTTAACAGAATCATTATTGAATGGTTGAAATTGACAAGAGAAGAGAAAAATACAGATATGCTTCACCGACTAGACTGCAGAAGAATCAACCAAGAGAGATAAAGAGATGGCTGTTTCTGCATAAAGCCACTTTCTTCCACGTGTTATCAAGGAGTACTGTTAATTTGAGGGGAAATGGAATATTGCATTAGAGATTACTGGTTAGAGTCAGCTGCTTCATGGAATCGTAGATGAAGGATTGAATGCTACATAAAAATGGAAAAAGTAGTGGCAAAAGGCTGACAGGTCATGGTTGAAGTATTCTAACCTGTAGCCCATGATTTTCTTTCATCTCGCAAGTTGAAAAAGCTATTGAAATGGTTTGTGAATTTGGGTCTATTACGAATCTAAGCCATTTGGGAAGGAAGCAATACGTGTAAATTTATGATTATTTCGTTTTAAACCAAAATGATGCGTAATTAATATCCCATATGAGTTGTATTCTTATTCATGAATGTTGGCAGAGGTGATTTGTAATTCGAACTTACTAAAAGTTCAAAGCTAGCCATCTTAACCTATTAATAACGCAACTCTCTGGCTCTTATGTTGTCTATCTTTTTGATTTGGTGATAAAATTTTTATTTTGAAACCATAGTTTTCAGACTTCGGGGTTCAGATATTAAAGACTCTGCAAAGGGTGAAATCAGAAATGTAAATCCAGGGCGATCTGTTCACTTTGAAGTGTCCTCCAAAGTAGCTACAATGGCTTTCCCATTTTCTAATCATTCAAAGAGTCTCATTAAAAAAGTCAATACGTAATCCAGCTTCAAACTAAGATATTATCAACTGTGAAGCCAAATTTCAAACCTTAGAACATACATTGATCATATCCCTTTTAAAAAAGTCCAAAATCGAAGTAGCCAAGTACCAGCCAGCTTCCTCTCTCCACATTGCCTAATTTTGAAACCAGAAAACCATCGTTTTCATTAACCAGGACAAGTCTCCCACCCCTCACAGATGCGTGTAGGATTCTCAAACCTCATTGATTCTCTCTTTCTCGAGGCATTTATAAAGAGCACCAAACAGACAGCTTTGATCATCAGCAAAACCCCCACGGTACTACTGCAGCAAATAACACCCATCAAAACAAAAAGCAAAACCCTCCCAATTATCAAATATGTCAGCCCCAACATTTATTTTCTCAATCCTCCTTTTTCAACTCCTCTTTGCCTCACAGCCATGCCACCTTATCCTCACCTCCGCAGCCGACGACCAGTGGCAACTTCTACAAAAAAACATTGGCGTCTCGGCCATGCACATGCAACTCCTTAGAAACGACCGTGTTGTTATGTTTGACAGAACAGATTTTGGCCCATCAAATCTGTCGTTGCCAAATGGAAAATGCCGCAATGACTCATCTGACATAGCTCTCAAAGTAGATTGCACAGCTCATTCAGTTGAGTACGATGTTTTTACCAATACGTTCAGGGCTCTTATGGTCCAAACCGACGTTTGGTGCTCTTCTGGGGCCATCATGCCTGATGGTAATTTGGTCCAAACCGGTGGTTTCAATGACGGTGAACGTAAGGTCAGGGTTTTTAGACCATGCAGTACCTGCGATTGGCAAGAAATACCAAATGGATTGGCAGTCAAAAGATGGTATGCCACCAACCATATCTTGCCAGATGGAAGGCAAATTATTGTCGGTGGTCGCAAACAATTTAACTACGAGTTTGTTCCTAAAAACATTGCCGCCAACACATTCAATTTGCCTTTCTTGTCAGAAACCAATGAGAGAGGAGTGGAGAATAATCTTTACCCTTTTGTTTTCCTTAATGTTGATGGAAACTTATTTATTTTCGCTAACAATCGAGCTATTTTGCTTGATTATGTGAACGATAAAGTTGTGAAGACGTATCCCACAATCCCAGGTGGCGATCCTAGAAGCTATCCAAGCACTGGTTCGGCTGTCTTGCTTCCATTGAACTTGAAAGCGGCAGCTATTCAAGCTGAAGTTTTGGTTTGTGGGGGTGCTCCAAAAGGATCTTATATCCGAGCCTTAAGAGGCAGGTTCATTGGAGCCTTGAACACTTGCGCTAGGATCACAATAACCGACCCCAACCCACAGTGGGTCATGGAGACTATGCCTTTAGCTAGAGTTATGGGTGACATGATATTGCTTCCAAACGGCAAAGTTTTGCTCATCAACGGGGCAGGTTCCGGATCAGCAGGATGGAAATTGAGTAGGAACCCGGTTTTGAGTCCAGTGTTGTACCTGCCTGATAACGAAAATGGGTCACGGTTCGAGACACAAAACCCAACAACAATTCCTCGGCTGTACCACTCCACAGCAGCATTACTTCGTGATGGCAGAGTTTTAGTTGGTGGAAGCAATCCTAACCCGTTGTACAATTTTACTGGAGTCCTTTTCCCTACCGAACTAAGCTTAGAGGCATTCTCTCCAGGATATTTGGACGTCAAATTCAACAATTTGCGACCCACAATCGTTGCTTCAAACTCAATGTCCATGATCGGATACGGGAAAAATGTAACAGTTCAAGTGGTGATTACAGATAAAGTAGTTCAAAACTTGGTGTCCGTAACAATGGTGCAACCAGCCTTCTGTACACATTCGTTCTCTATGAATCAAAGGTTGCTTGTACTTGGAAATGACAAAGTAACCGCTTTGGGGAAATCAACGTATAACATTGAGTTCACGACGCCAGGTTCGGGTAATCTTGCGCCAGCAGGGTTTTATCTTTTATTTGTGGTCCATCAAGACATTCCCAGCCAAGGCATTTGGGTCAAGTTGAAGTAAAGAAAAAGAAAAAAAAAAAAAAAAACGATTCATCCAAATATCTAAAATAAAGGTTCGTGATTTGAATGTACACAAAGAATTGATCATCCCATCTGTATACTTCTTCCGATTATTCTTTAAGATGTGACACACACACATACACATATATATATATATATGTATATATATATATATATGTATATATATTTCAGTAATCTCTGCCGATTGCTTTCATAGAACTAGGCACAGACAAGTGTATTTACAAAGTTCGATCGACAAAGAGGATTTATTTTAATTAATTGTCCAGTTGTCCTTATAAATGGTCAAATTATAACCAGCTAGCCACATTTCTGACAAGGATAAAATAATCAAATTGAAAACATGCAAATTACTTTATGCCTCATTTCAGGTTCATTTTTTTTTTTTAACTTGAAATTGTAAGAGATTAAACTGACACTAAGAATTTTCACTCCACCAATAGAATACACGACTATTAACATTATTTCATAAATAATATATACTAATTGGCACAAGCAAACTAGTCAATTTAGACATACATGCATGACTTTTTGCAACGCTAGCTCAAAGGCGTTTTAATTGTTTTCCACTTAGTAAAGCCCTTGATTAATTTATTCACGGCACGTTTAGTTTGGCGTGGAATACGACCAAATGGTCATTGAAATAGCCAGTCCTAGGGCCATCTTGCCTTTCTATGGAACCTCCCTCAATCTTTTCATATCTAAATTAAACATGATTGTTGCAGCTGTCACTACAAGGATTTAGGTTTTCAGTGATGTTTTTTTCAACGTTTAGTAGTGTTTATAAACGCCATTAAACGATTTGCAGTGTTTGCAAAAAACGTCACTAAGAGTATTGACTATACACATGTTAAGGAAAATAACGACATTTATATCTAAAAAATATCGTTAATTTAGTGACATTTATATAAGAAAAACACCGTTAATATGATAACGTTTGTATCATAAAAACGCCGTTAATTTAGCAACGTTCTTATCATAAAAATACCGCTAATTTTAGTGACATTTTATAATACAAACGTCACTAACTTTAGAATTTAGAGATATTCTTAAACACGAACGTTGCGAAATTAAGAAATTTACTTTTTTTTAAAAAAAATTTCTTTTAATATTTATTATTTTCATTAACAGAAAATGTTAAAAGAAATAAAATCGAACTTAAATTCAGAAATTGAATTTAATAAATACATATTTCACATTTAAATATACATGTAATTAACATAAAGTTTAATAATTAGTATAATAATATTCAAATTATTTTAGTACATTAACAAAAAAATTTAAAATGTATGAAATTGATGACTACATAGATTTGAAAGACTGCTATTTGATGAAAGAATTTTTTCACCTTGATCACTAGCATGCTCAAGAACTTACTGAATAACATCATACAAGTTTTAACACTTAATAATAAGCTATTTTTTACATTAAAAAATATAAATATTTACTAAATCTAATACATGAGTTGGTGGACCATTGAGATTACATTTTAAATATGCATGTAATTAACATAAAGTTTAATAATTAGTATAATAACATTCAAATTATTTTAGTACATTAACAAAAAAATTTTAAATGTAAGAAATTGATGACTGCATAGATTTGGAAGACTGCCATTTGATGAAAGAATTTTTTCACCTTGGTCACTAGCATGCTTAAGAACCTACCGAATAACATCATACAAGTTTTAACATTTAATAATAAGCTATTTTTAACATTAAAAAATATAAGTATTTACTAAATATAATACCTGAATTGATGGACCATCGAGATTAATTTTTGAAAATTGTTGTTGCACAAAATTCATAAGATGATCAAATCAATCATGCAACTACTGAAATTTTACACGCTCTTAGTCTATTCTAGTACGTTCTTCTTCAATTTTGGTATGCTCTTGTTCTTTTTCTACTTCAATTTATTAGAAACGTTGTTGCATAGTTTGTAACTCCTTTCTCAATATGGAAATGTTTCGTCAAGACTGACTTGCTGAGAATGTAAATTGCTGAGAGCTACGTCCATAGTAGGTAGATAATTTGGACCTAATTCAAGGCCTCGGACCTGTCCATACCTTTCTTTTCCAGCAACTTTTGTGAAAATTTAATTTTTCAATTCTTGCATATTGACAAAACCATTAGATGCTATTTCAATCTTAGTAGTCATTTTCTCTTTCACTTTCTCCTATAAATTAATCAGATAAAACTATCAAGTTTAATGATTAATTCATAATATGTCAAAAATAGTAAATATTTATTTTCTGTTAAAATAGATGTAACAAATTATCATAATTTCTTGTGTTTTGATATTCAAGTAAGATCCCTCTTTTTTTTGTGTGTTAAGCGAAAAAGTTTCAAACGTCCAACTTTGTCACCCATCTCAATCTCCTATACAAAAACACATGTTATTATTAAATACATATCAAATGTAACTTATCATACATATCAAGCATGTCAATCAAGTTAAAAATTCCAAATAAGTTTAATATCATGTATTTAATCTATTTAAATTGTTAAAATAAAAATATAACCATAATATTATATTTTTATCCTTTAACAACACAAAAGTCTTAAACAAACGTAAACAATAAAAGCATTTTGGCCTTTCACACATATCGATCATGAAAATCAAATTTAATTATTTAGATAAGTTTAATATCATGTATTGTAGCCATCCAAACTGTTAAAAGCCATCCAAAAGTCTAATTTGTATTTTTACCTTTAAAAGGCAAAAATAGTCTCAAATAGACGTAAACGATAACTTTTTCACACATTTCAACCGTAAAAACCAAGTTCAATCATTCGGACAAATTTAATATCATGTATTGAAGCTATCCAAATTGTTAAAACAGAACAATAACAATAATTTTATATTTTTACCTATTAACGACACAAAAAGTCATGAAGAGACGTAAACAATAACTTTTTTATACATATTAACTGTGAAAACTAAGTTCAATACTTTGGATAGGTTTAATATCATGTATTGAAACTATCAAAACTATTAAAACAGAACAATAACTATTAATTTATATTTTTACCTTTTAACGGCACAAAAAGTTCATTCATTCGGATAAGTTTAATATCATAAACTTACTATTTCTTTTTGCTTTCTAGCAAAACTTTTTGATCCACTTGTGTGGTTATATTTCTGTTGCTTTCTACTACCAATCCTAATATGTTCTCTTTCCTATTATAAAAAATAATTACGTATATGGTAGAAATACAAATATTACCAACCTAAAGCATAAAACACTTTCATTACTTACAACTAATATTAAAAGTTATAAATAAATACCTTTCATTTTTTTTAGAACCAAAATCTAACTAATTATTCATATTACCACCTAATCACATTACGAGATAGATTTTTTAGTATGGCCTCTACAGTAGTATTTCGATCGAAATACTTTTTCTTCAAATTATGCTTATAGTCTTTTCATTTTTTTCTCAATGACTTAAGCACAAATGAAGTGGGTATTTCAAATACAAATCTTGACTGTAATAATACAAAAAGAAAAGTTTGAATCAATAAACCAAATGTAAAATAATTATATTTTATATGTAATTAATTATATTAATACCTTAATAAAGTTTAAAGCATCGACCTTAACTTTTGCTGAAACTTTAAGCCATATTTCATAATGAATAGGAATTTCATTTCATTACGGGCAATCATGCCTAAAAATTCAGCCAACAGTTAAGCCTCTTCATCAATTGATTGCCTATCAGAGTTTGCAGACACTACAATACGCTCGTTTGGAGGTAGTGCAAATAATTCTTTCAAAGTTGTTCGACCTCTGATCTTCAGTTGATCATTGTTATCAACTGTAAAAAATAAAAAATCAATTTGTAAATTATCTTCACTTTAATCATTATAATCTAATTGTAAATATGAAATATATGATACCCGTATTCAAATTAAAAGCAAAATCAATTGACGGGATACTATCTAAACCTGAACTTCTCATATTGCTAGATCCAATAACAGTTAAAAGGTTAGAAGTGACTGAGTTAGAACTGACAATACGTTCATTCCCCTTAAAAGGATTCAGTCCATAGCCAAAATCAACAGGTGCTACAAATAATTTTAAACTAATATATTTGATATGTATTTCTTTCAATCTACTCATCCGTATTGTAGCTCAGCTGCATCATAAAAATGAATATATAAAAGATATTAGTTTAGTACATATATAAAGACATTGAGAATTTAAGAAATCATAGCCAATGATATATAAAGAACATATCGATTTAATTAAATTAAAAGATGATGTATGATTTACAATACAATAAATATACAATAGCGAATGTGACATTAATTACATACAAGCATTTATTATATTATGTCTTAAACACTCGAATTATAAAATATAGATAATCCATCATGATTCATAAATGTCTTCATTAACATCTTCGCAGACCCAATGAACAGAGGTACTGAAGATATTTTCATCCAAGTTTTGTTTAGCAAAAGGATGATATTCAGTTTCATGTTCAACATCATCTCTGGTATCTAATCCCATATCAAATAAGTCTCTAGGTGTATTTCAAAGAACAACAAACTAACCCAATTCTTTGGGATTTTCAAAATAAAAAACTTGTTTGACTTGAGATAAAAAAATATAAGGTTCATCGATGAGCTGTTGTACAGTATGAATTAATAGAGAAAAATTCACAAGTGTAAATCCAAATTGATCTTTCTTAATACCTCTCGTACTATTCACATTAGTTCAATCACACCGAAATAAGATAACTTTTCACTTGTCATAATAATCTAACTCAATGATGTCATTAACCATGCCATAATAGTCAACATTTTCTTTTAAAAGGTTTGTGTCCCAGTGCTAGCATAGCTAGCAATTGATGAAGTAACAATAACTCTTAAATTTTGTGTACTTCTAAATCTCTCATAAGATTTAGTGTGAAATCTAAATCTATTGATGATAAAATTTTTTTATCCTTTCATAATCCTGTTTGGACCTTGTGAAAGACATTTTTCCTCTTCACTAACAAGCCTTTCACTACAAACATATAAATG